TCTCCTCCCCCTCACCCCCTGTCTCTGTAAAGTTCATCAGCCGTGGAGGAATGTGTTCTTTTAGATGGACTGCAATTGTTGGGAGTTTCTCTGCAAATAACATCTTGGCAGCCAGCCAGCCGGGCTGTCCAGCTCTTGTGCCGGCAGGTAGACTGCTGAGGCTAAGTTTTGTTTTGAAACAGTACAGTAAAGAAAGAGAATCTGATGTATTAAAAAGCAAGAGATTAGAAACATGAATAGTTTAGGTGCTTATGTGTCAGCAGTCTGGTTTGGTTTCATTTTGTCATACAGAAATGGCGTTCTCACACTCTATATTGAATAGCTGTGCAGGTCCAGGGTGCAGCCACATCTTTGTCAGCAATTTTTCAAGATACAGCACGCTAAGTGAGATGGCTCATGAATCTGTTAATAATAGTCACTAAAGAGCTTAAAGCAGAGTGGAAAAACTGTTAACGTCAGCTTGCAAGTCATCGTTGAGGTTATTGAAACTTCTGACATATAAAGTAGCAAATTTATTACCATAACTGTATGGTTGATTGTGCAGATTAAAAGTGACTGTACACATCCTGTTTCAGTTGTTAATGATCTGATGTACTTTTAATCATATAATACAAAATGTGTTAAACATCAGTCACAGTTTCTGTAAGAATTGTGAACACCCATAGTGCTACATAAATTACTATGTTATTGTATTATTATTATATAGTGGCATCACAAGGTTAGCAATATGGAAAGAATACAATGCATGAATGCTTCCAATGCTGATACGGCCTTAATGCAACATACAGATTCTTCTTTGTATTAACTTGGTCAAATTTTGATTTAAATTTGGGTTTGTTTTCAGTTTCAGGGTCAGATTTGGATTAATTTGAAAAGTAAAACTGTTTCAGATAAAACACCCGCACATACAGCCCAGTCCTCTTCATAACTGCTCTGAGGCAGTTGTATTCAAAGGAGAACTAGTTTACAAGAGACCTCATTTGTTCACCTTGTTGTTGTGTCTACTTGTGCATGTTTGATTGTTTATGCTCACAATTATGTTACTAATTAGAAACTAGCTTTGTTTCCTCTCCCAGTCTATCTGAAAATGACTGGGGGTATTATGGGTAGGCACCGTAATTAATTGCCACCTCATCCTCCTCTTCTCTCTCTCTGATTCTCTCTCTCTCCCTGGCTTATCATCATTAGTCACATTCCATCAGTTCTCAGTGAGCACTGAGGCCTGCAAGTACTTGTTTGCGTCGATCTCACCCCCGTCTTCCCCTCTCACCATTGTCTTCCTGTAACCCGGTTTCTGTCTGCTTATGTCCCTATGCCAGTCTTTTCACTGCAGTTATGGTCTGGCCCCCCTCTCTGCTGTTGTCCCTTTTGGTCTCTTCCAGAATGTAGGATAGCTGAATTGAAAATAAATGAAAGGCTGGACTCAATGTAGCGTATGATGGCTCAATTGAATGTGCCTCTCAGGAATGCGACGTTGTGTCGTGTAGTCTTTTGGCTGCAGTGTCAGTCCACTCCCTTTATGGTGGACTGAGGATGGTAGACTTTGGTTTGTCCTATAGGAATTCCATCCTTCTACTCCTGTCCATCCGCTACAGGCCCCAAAACTAACTGTCATCTGAACAAGTCATCTGAACAACTCAGGAATGTATGATCTCTGAACCACCATCAACATCACGCAGATGTTCTATTATTCTGACAACAGATAAAGTTGTACTTTTATCCAGATTGGCTGCTTAATTCAAAGGTCATCCTGTTCCGGGTTCAAAGCTTTGTGAAAACCATCCTCCCATAATCCTTAATTTTTGCATGGCCATACATTTTCAGTGTTATAAAATAGCTGTCTATTCATGAGGAATGGAGAATGCACGTGCATCACCGTGATAGATTGAATGAATTATATGGGAACTGCTGATATTACCGGTTTTAAGTTAAATTCAGAAGTCTGTTTTACCAAGACTAATGTTTTTTCGGCACTTCAGATTCTGGTTATGGTTATACCAAAAACTGCACTGTGTTCTGAAATGCATTAGGGAGGTTTAATGTGGTGTGATGCTTATATAAATGAAATTCTATCCAGGAGGGCCACTTTTTTAGATGCCAAAACATTGCACAACAGTTAATATAATATTAAGGAAGGGTATTACAAGTAATCAATGTGGTAATAAGTAATTGGGAAATGAAGAGTGGAATTACTCTGTTTTGGCAATCCTACCCCTGAAACTATTCACTATGCCAACACAGTTTTTATTGTCTTCTTTCCTGTATCTTTAGTTTTCTTGGAATATCTGCTGCATATTCCATCACATGAATCAAGGTACTGTTTCCGTTGACTAAGCTGGAACAAAGTGGATTCCATTACCTAAAAGTAAAGGAACATTTATATAAAGCAATTATAGGCACACATTTCCTCATCTCACCGAAAGAAAAAACATCCACTTGGAGGTAAAATGTGATTCAGGAATTAAATCAGGAGTACATTGTCTTTTTCTCATGTTACTTCAAACTCTGAATGAAGTTGAACCTGATTCAATTATTTAGTGCAGGAAGAGGGAGACCTGGAGTGATGGCAACCAAGTTTTTTTTTTTTTATGCATTTTTCACATAATTTAGAATTTCGATAGACGAGGATCTACTCTGTTATTCTCAGATAAGAGTGACAGCCTGCAAATTGTGACCGTTATTGGAAAAGACAACCCTGTGCTCAAATTGGACAATGTTACCCAAAATGCATTATTATATACCTAGCTGGCAGAGACCGTTGGCTGGTGGAGTAAAGGGGAAGCACTGTGTTTGTTGAGGTAAATTCCTGGACATTCTGAACAGTAATTTGTGTCTCTGCTCCTTCAGGGTCTGAGCTGGTTTCTCAGGATTATCTGCACAGAGCTGTAAAGCTCTTTCCACCAGAGAATCGTGACATGCTGACTACAGAGTTCACGCTGTGCAGCAGCAGAGCTGTAGCTTTTAACCAAGTTATGGAAACTTACTCGCCCCACCTCCAAAGGAGAAGTGTGTGTTTTAGTTTAAGCAGGATTTGTACTATGTCTGAACTGTCTGAACGTCAGCTGTTGGAATAATGTGAGAAACTTCCTGCCCCCATACGCATCTGACCTTTGGAGGGGGGTGACTGTGTCGACCATTTTCTGCAACTTTCTAAAATTGAAGAGTATATACTCAATTCACACTGTGCCAGTGGCGCAGAGATGAAATAGGAGCCAGGTGTTGTAGTTGTTATATTTTTTTACATGCTATTTGTGGCACTTTTCATAGGCTACGTCCATAGGACTGTTTTTGGTTAAAAATGGGATTTTCGGCAACAAAAATTATCTCGGTACACATGTGCATTTAGGTTGAGTATCAGTTTTAATCCCGTTCAGAATAGCACACCTGAAAACGCACATCATGTGACCACTCACGTACACTGGGCATGTGTGTGCCAGTGTGCACAGGGACTTGAATAATAGCTCATCTCCCCCGAATGTAAACAGCTGAATCATTGTAAAATTGTACACAACAGCTATTAGCAAAGACAACAGGGTCAGCAGCACTTGTTTTTGATTACCATTGTGTTCTACACTGGTTGAGAATGCATACATCTTATCTTCTGCCCATCCAGACTACAACGCAGCCCCGCAAGTTTCCAAACTAATGTAGGGCCAGCAGCGTTCCAAATTTCTCACTTTGTGGATTGCATGCATATACATCAGAGCTGATGTAGTTTCAAAAGAAAACGTAGTAGTGTGAATGGAACCATAGAAACAACCCAAGTGTGACACTGTGAATTACTTCCTAGAGATACGGTTAAAAAGTAATGCACCATTATCCATGTTTTATCATATCACACACTCACGCACCTATCTATCACATCTAACTTTTTAGTTTGTGGCTTTTTGGAACATCTTAAGACACATGATTCCCAACTAGGTTGGATAGCATGCCTAAATAGTTAGTTCTCTATATTTCACTATATTTCAATTTGATTGTATCAGGTTTAGTCACTGAGATATCAGTCAGCTGGCGTGACCTCTGCGTATGCTTTGAAGTGTAGTATCAGATATTATACTGTATATAGATAACACATATTGTAATTATTATGCTCTAAAAATGTAAGTTCTGTTTTCATTCTTTCCATTTTTGGCCTCTCGCCAGGACTTTACCCTCATTCTCACAAAGAGGAGATTTCCACGAACAAAGTAAGCTTTCTAATGCTCTTAGTGTGGCAGGAAAGTGGTGCGTGTGTGAGTGCATGAACGCTCACTGGGTGAGATTTGGTCTGCTCAGTGGAGTGAATAGTGTCTTTTTCAGTCTGTCTGTCTTTTTCCCAACCTCCCTTTTGAATAAGCACACTGGAGATCTGCCTGAACTTGAAAGAACTAATCCTGCTTCTGTGTCAGTGATGGGAGACGAGGAGGAGAGGTGGATAGAAGAGTGAGATAGTAAGCGGAAAGTTGAGGGATATACTCTATATGGAGTGAAAAACAGAATTGAGTGTAATTAGCAGTTATAATTAGAGGAAACATCACAATATTTCACAAACTAAGTAAAAACTGAAGAGTCGGCAGCAAAAACAAAGGAGCTCTACGGCTCTCAAGGTTCTTTTTCAACACAGCAACTTGTTTTTCTGGCAGGGACTCTGAAACCAAAGGTTTTTGTACCTTTTATCCTGGCATTGAAGGCGGGTTGTATACTGGGACAGTATGTGGGACACTGAAAGCCCTCTTGGGCTACTCAACTTGGTTTATTCTGAGGATTTTTTTTACTGACAGGAATTACAATGGGAATGAGCTTCCCATGACTTTTCGCGAATTGCAGGGATGCCAAAAAATACAAGGAGTTTGAATGTTAGAGTCTGTGTTTGCAGTAAACACACAGGCATGTGATTGGCCCACAATAATGTTCTTTAGGACGAGGTTTGCCATCTTTGCATTTTCTGCCCTAACTTTTACTGGGTGTCTATACGAGCAGAGTAAACTCATGTGTCTTCTCTCTCCCTTGTGTTACAGGTTGTGTCCAGAGGGATGTGTTTTTAAACCCATGCTGCTGGGAGGTCAAGAGGTGACATGCCTCTGTAAAACACCACTGGAAACAAATGGTGAGGAGGAGATTATTTATTGTGCTGAAGGAGCCCTCCATAGACGGTTTAAATAAATGAATGCCACTTAATATAGTTGCAGACTTTACAAGTGAAAAACATAAATATTTTCTTTTTTAACAATTGTTTTATCTGCGTAGTTTTTTATCAACATGGTTTATCTGCAGAAAAAAATGATCAATTCATGAAGTGATGAAGATGAAAATTTGAACGCATTTGTGGAACTATTTGAGCTGAGATTACACCACATGACTTGTTGTCTAGTGATAAGATGTTTTTAATTCATTTCAGCACACTGCATGTGCCTTCAGTACCTCACCCCATCTTGCACTCTGATTGGCTATAGTTGTCGCTGACTCCAACTAGATTTCCAGTAAGTTTGAAATCAGATGAGTCTTGACGTGTCCGTGAGCCTCTCTAATCTTGGAAGTCTTTGAAGAGTTCACACATAGTGATAACTGACTGCTGATCGAGTGCCGATCAGGAAAACTAGTCTGCGACTGGCAACTGACAAAATTGTGTAGTATGAATTAGGCTCTAGTGCAACAGAGTTAGATGTGAAATCACTTTGCCCTATGTACTGTTTAGTGGAGAATAGGAACTGTATGTTCACTGAGCACCTAATTGGGAACATCTGGACACCTGTTTACTCATGCAGTTATCCGATCAGTTAGTCATGCAAATTTGAAATACATAAAATCCTGCACATGCAGGTCAGCAGTTAATGTTAACATCAAACATTAGAATGAAGAAAAAAATAGGGGTTTCAGTGACTGAAATTGGGCAGTTTGACTATTTCTGAAGCTGCAGATTTTCTGGAATTGTTATGTGCAATAGCCTCTGGAGTGTCGTCAGAGAGGTGCAAAAGTAAACATAAAAACATCCAATGTGTAGCAATTAATCCAAAAGTGACATGCAGTGAGCGGACAGAAAGCCTATGGTAACTAATGTGGGAAGCAGAAAGGCATCTAAGAATGCACAATGTTAAAGGCTGCGGTGTAAAAGGGAGAGCTAGCAAGGAGGGACTGATGCTGACACTGTAAATACATCACGCCTCTGATTCTGCATCCTATCTAAAATTACACTCTGGGGGGTGTTATGCTTACTTTGTTTGGTTTATCGTAAACAAAGAAAGGCAACATAATGAGGGTGAATGCTGCAGGATGTTTGTTTGAAAGGGGCTGAAGACTTGATTTTTCTGAGGCTGTAGATGGTAGGGTCAGAATTTGTCCAAGAAACCAACCTGCCTTGTGAGAACAGTCCAGGCTGAAGGTGGTGATATGGAGCTTGCTGATATGACATGTTTGGCTTTAATAGCTTATAGTTAAGGAGACATATTCAGTACACGTTGTAATGTCAGGTGTGAACAGATGAACTTGAACAGAGCTGTTTACTTGTGATCAGATCTCCCAGGTTCCTCTTCAGCACTGTAGCCAGGCTGACAGAAAGTCACACCTCTACTGACCCATCTATCCCTCTAACCCTGAGAGGCAACGATTTCATGAACTTTTTCACAAATAAAATTATAACCATTTCTCTTTTAATGATCTTCCTGAACTGACCTTATTAGTTTCATCATGTAAACCAGCAACATGTCTATAAGACTCTGTCCCAACTAGACTGTTTAAGGAAGTTTCCCCCTGATTGAGAGTTCCATATTAAATCAGATTAATATGTCTTTGTTGACCGGCTACGTACCACAAGCTTTTAAGGTAGCTGTTATTAAACCTCTGCTTCAAAAGCCCACTCTTGATCCAGAGGTTTAGCTAATTATAGACCCATATCAAGGCCTTGAGATAATGTATATTATGATTTGGCGCTATACAAATACAATTGAATTGAATTAAATATCAAACCTGCCATTCATTTCCAAAATCATAGAAAAAGCTGTTGCTAACCAGCTGTCTGATTACTTAGATAGTAACGGTTTGTTGGAAAACTTTCAGTCAGGATTTAGAATCCATCACAGCACAGAAACAGCACTATTAAAAGTCACTAATGACCTTTTCATGGCATCAGATCATGGACTTGTCTCTGTGCTCGTCCTGTTGGATCTTAGTGCAGCATTTGACACCATAGATCATAAGATCCTGTTACAGAGACTAGAACAACATGTAGGGATCAGAGGAACGGCACTAGACTGGTTTAAATCATATTTATCAGATAGATTCCTCCATGCACATGCAAGGTAGTCATGGAGTTCCACAAGGTTCTGTCCTTGGACCGATACTCTTCACCTTATTTATGCTCCCCTTAGGCAACATCATCAGAAAGCACCACATACACTTCCATTGTTACGCAAATGACACCCAGCTGTACATTTCTCTGAAGCATGATGAATCTAATCACTTAGTTCAACTTCAGGAATGTCTCAAGAACATCAAGGCCTGGATGACCCAAAACTTCCTACTTCTAAATTCAGACAAAACTGAGGTTGTTGTAATTGGCCCTAAACATCTTAGAGAATCACTGTCTGAACAGATAGTTACCTTGGATGGTGTCAGTTTGGCCTCCAGCTCCACTGTGAGGAACCTTGAAGTTATGTTTTACCAGGACATGTCATTTAACAAACACATAAAACAAGTCTCTAGGACAGCTTTCTTCCACCTGCGCAGTATTAAGGAAATTAGAAACATCCTGTCTCAGAAGGATGCTGAAAAATAGTCCATGCATTTGTTACCTGTAGACTAGATTACTGTAATTCCTTATTATCATGATGTCCCAGGAAGTCTGTGAAAAGCCTCCAGTTGGTCCAAAATGATGTAGCACGAGTGCTGACAGGAACTAGAAGGGGAGATCATATTACTCCTGTCTAAGCTTCTCTACATTGGCTCCCTGTAAAATTCAAGACCCTGCTCCTCAAATTTAAAGCCCCTTCATATATCAAAGACCTGATAACCCCGTATTATCCAAATAGATCACTCCGTTCACAAAACAAAGGCTCTCTTGTGGTTCTAAGAGTCTGTAAGAGTAGAACAGGAGGTAGAGCATTCAGCTACCAGGCTCCTCTCCTGTGGAACCAGCTCCCACTCTGGGTTCCAGAGTCTGTAAGAGTAGAACAGGAGGTAGAACCTTCAGCTACCAGGCTCCTCTCCTGTGGAACCAGCTCCCACTCTGGGTTCTATAGTCAGAAACCATCTCTACATTTAAAGTTAAACTTAAAACGTTCCTTTTTGATAAAGCCTATAGTTAATTCTGGATCAGGTGAGTCCTGATCCATCCCTTAGTTATGCTGCTATAGGTCTAGACTGCTGGGGGAACTCCCATCATCCACTGAGCACTTCTCCACTTCTCTTTGTCTCTCTGCCCCCCCCACATTCATTCATTTATTTTAATACATGTCAATGACTGTTTATTTTTTCTCCTATAGTCCCTCTCTCTCTTTTTCTCTCTCATATCTCGGACTCAAGAACTGCACAACCTTTAATATTATTATTAACAACAATACTTTTAATTATTTTTATATGAATTGTGGCTGTAATATGAACCCATGTTAATCAATAACTTCTTTACACTGTTATTGTTTACATTTTAACCAGTCAGAGCTGATACCTGATGGTGCTCAAGTGTTCCTGGTATCCCTCGCCTCTCTCTCTCCCCCTCCCCACTATTACTCTCTCTTCTCTCCCCTCTTTTCCACCCATCTCTTCTCTCCTCCTCTTTTTCTTTGCTCACCCTAACCGGTCAAGGCAGATGACTGTCAACATTGAGTCTGGTTCTAGAGGTTTCTCTCTGTTAATCAGGGAGTTTTTCTCCATAGTCTCCAAAGTGCTGCTCATTGTGGGAACTGTTTGGTTTCTCCATATAAATGCGATTTTAAGGTCTTGACCTTCTATGTAAAGTGCCTTGAGATAATGTATATTATGATTTGGTGCTATACAAATAAGATAAAATTGAATCGAATTGATGTTAACACTGGGTCTGAGCAGGGCAAATGAAACAAAGACCTACAAAAGTAGCTGTATGATCACAACATTAGCCTGCAAGTTTTTCTGCAATTGTTGGAACAAAACACGTTGATCAAGTCCATAGATGTAATAGAGGCTTACTTTTAAGTACTGAAGTTCAAAAACAAACTGTATCCATAAGTGTGTCTGCAATAAAATGTGGGATCATAAGAGGATCCATGTTTTAAAGCGTTTGTATAGATGAAGGAATGAATGGAGACATTGTTTGTAACAACTTTTCTTGTCGTCTTTCCCTCAGCTCTGCTGCCATGCCTCCGGGGATGGTGCGTGGTCTTTCAGTGTTAGCAGTCCGGGCACTGTTGTCTCTCCTGCTGCCAGCCATTGGCTGGCCCTTGGTCTCATTACCCAGTGGCATTGTCCAAGGATCAGACTCCTCCCCCTCAAGTCTTTATCCCACCTTTATCCGGAATAACACCGTGTTTGAACACTTGGCCCTGCATCCTAACCCCACCATTGGTCGTGTCTATATTGGCGCTCGAGATCACTTGTTCCAGTTGAATCGATTCCTCCAACCTGAACTCCAGGATGACACTGGACCTGTCACAGACAGTCGGGAGTGTTTACCTCCTGTTACTAAAAGTAACTGCCCTCAGGCTCGGACCACCAATAACCACAACAAGCTCCTGTTGGTTGATCCTTACTCCATGGAACTGATCACCTGTGGGAGTGTCAACCAGGGAATATGTCAGAAACGTAACCTGGATTCTGTGGATGAAGTACTATTCTCCACCACGAGGCCAGTGGATACCCAATATGTAGCAGCTAACCACCCCAACGTTAGTACTGTTGGGCTTGTTGTAAGGTCAAATCCTGCCAGGCAGCCAGTTCTGTTTGTGGGCCGGGGTTATACCAGCAGCCATCCACCTATTTCCACAAGAAACCTAGCCCAGGAACCCATCTTTTCTTATGAGGAGACTGCTAAATTGGCTGTGGCTGGCCGTCTCTCAGAATATGACCATCATTTTGTGGCCTCGTTTGCCCACCGTCAGCATGTATACTTCCTCTTCTACAGACGGGACCTCAAATCACAATCACGTGAATACCGCACCTATGTCTCTCGAGTATGTTTGGACGACCAGTCCTATTACTCCTATGTAGAAGTACCTTTGACGTGCCGTTCCAGGCCAGGAAAAAGTTACAACTTGCTACAAGCTGTTCAGCTCGGGCTCTCCAAGGATGACGCTGCTAATCAAAGCTCTGACATTCTTCTTGGTGTTTTCTCCACTCATTTGGCTTCATCAACTCGGCTTAGTGAAGACTCTGCCCTCTGCATGTTTAATCTAGAAGATGTGGACCGCAGGATTAACTCCACCAGAGACCTGTGCTACACACAGATGGGTAAAGAAGCAGGAGTGGAGGCAGCCTATATTGAGTATGAAGTCAAGTCCAACTGTGCCAACCTGCCAGAGGTGAGCTCATCAGAATCTGAATTACTTAATTAATCATGAGGTTAAATTTGTTTATTTCTGTATTAGTTTTAATGAATTTAAGTACAAACTCTTTTCCCTAATCCAACGATGTTGTGGACTTGACATTGATTGGGGAAAAGAATTGATGTTACAGTGACTTCAGATTTGGTGATGTTGTTACTGTTAAGATTGTTGTGTTTTTATATAATCTATGATTTTTCCATCTCATCATAAATGTATTCAATGATGGTCTGAGCAAACATAGCCACACTGAATATATGGCAGTTGTGCAAAATCACACTTCTGCTCTTTCCCCCAAAGGTTAAGACTTTATTTCATACAGCTCTAAAACAGTTAAATAATGTTAGTGGAGGTGGGCTTTATTTTAGACTGGGTCACCCACCTCCACCGCTAAAACAAAGTAAATTGCTATAGAAAACCCTGGATTACCCATTCAGGATTATCCCTCCAGCACGATCTGCTAGTTTCTAGGGCAGCTTCCTAAATATTGATGATTCGAATGGTCAAGGAGACCCTGAGTCAGATCTCATTTTGTCATTGGAGTAACACACTTTTTATTTGTAGCTGCGTCATTGTACACAGACATAGGCAACTCTTAGACTGATATGACAGGTTATAAACTTTTAGTCTAGTCCCAAAATGACCTGACTATCAAAGTAATTGAAATGGAAATGGGGTGATGAAGTGCAACTTTCAAAAACCCTCCTCTCCTGTCGTCCACTATGATTGACTCCCTCGACTCTCTGTGTTGTGCTATTATCTTAGAACAGCCACATGACCTGGACACACAGTTTTTATTTATTATGACTATGAGGAAATCTGATGTTATCACAGACAAGAAATAGAGGGTAAAATAAGACTTGATATGCAAGCTGTTTAGCTATTTAGTTCATTGCCCTGCCCTGAATCAGTTGACCAGTTGGTTAATTTAAAATGTTTTCTGCTTGGATGGCTTCTTTTCACACAGAGAAAAATCTAGCTGAACCAAATGTACTAATGAGCAAAGTTTCAAACCCTGTGAAAATGTTTTGCTTTTTGGTCAGATATGTCAGGGGCGGGAGCAAGAAAGTAAGGACAGGAATATGTTCTTTTGTCCTTGAATAGAGCATTTAAAGATATAGCATATATTGCTCTACAATTTATCCTGGAGCAACAGCAACTGCTGCCAAAGTTTGCCTGACCTGCTGCATCCGAGAATGCAAAGCACACCTGGCTACAGAAGCTGTTTAGGTCAACTTTTCCCAGTACATCTTATCTAGGTCAGATCACGTTCTCACCACCACCGAGTTCATTTAGTACTAAAGGGTCTGTATGAGTTGTCTGTGTTTACACCTGACGAAACAAATCCCATCAGAGTCTGATTTAACCAGACTAAAAGGTGAAGGTGTGAAAAAACCCTCAAGCTCTTTCCGACATGACCTGCAGATGAAGTCCGGGCAATTGTGTCTGGACTCTACCCGCAGTTTGCTTTTCACATATGCACAAAACAGCGGGAGATTTTCTGCATTGACATGTTCACGACAATTTTCAGTGGAGAGTTGGTGCAGACACCAGTGTCAGCTCTTATCACCACAGACGTTTTTGACATCTTCGTCTCTATGGAGTCTTTTTCCTATCTTTAATCAAGAGCGTGGTCTTTCAGTTCAAGCGCATGACTTGTTGAATTTATGTTCAGATTGTGCATTTCTTTTCATCAAAACCCTGCCCTTGCACTAAAATAGCTCCTGTTTGCACTTAAATTTGCTCTGATTCCGCTTTTGTGTGTTGGGGACTTTTGATGGGGTTGATACACAAAAAAATTCAAGCGCACAGGAGAAATCCTAGAGCAGATGATTCACGAGCGCACAGAAAGCAGCCAGAGTGATGGTGCGTGGTCTTTCAGTGGAGGGCAGGAAATCCGTGCGAGCAACAATATATCTGAGTGCAAGCACACAGTTTGAGCAGAAGCAGAGCAAATTATGGTGCAAACAGAAGCTATTTTAGTGCAAGGGCAGGGTTTTGATGAGAAGTAATACACATTCTGAACATAAATTCAACAAGTCATGCACTTGAACTGAAAGAACACGCTCTTGCTTAAAGAGAAAGAAAAAAACTCTAACCAGGCAGAGAAAGATAATCTAGAGGCTCTCACTCGGACATTTGCGTTCACACATGCACCTTCCCTGGAGAAGTGCGGAGGTCAGTGCATCTGAAAACTTAAGTTTAAATGTTTAATAAAAACTGACAACTCATAGTTGTCATCATTGTAGTGAATATAAATAGCCGTAGAGTTGAATATTTAAAAATAGTAGTGTCCCAGACTATTAGAAATAATTCTAACAAAAAAAAAAATAAATAAACTGAACAAACTACTCTTACCTCTCTCAATAACTAACACTGACAGAGACTTGATGTCCGTATTAAAGTGACAAAAATGTGCACGTTATTGGTAATGGTATTGTTGTAAAGGATCATTATCGTCATTTTTATCATATTATTACTATTATAACTTACTTTCTTGAATTTGTCACTGTGTACAACTGTTAATGATTGAGTCTGCAGACACATGATGCAGCACAACAGCATGTTGTGGTTTTAAGAGAGCAGTCAACACTGAATGTTTCAGTTTACATTACTGGCAAACAAATGAACAGGTTCAACAAACAAACCGTGACTTTTTTCCAACATTCTCAAGTCTCAACATAAAAATGAACTTGGTTTGTATCTGAACTGTTTCCTCCTTTCGTTGTGTTTTTTTCCCCCTGCATCTTCATCAAGTTTTGTTCAGCACTCTCATAAGTCACAAGTCCTTTTAGAAGGATGTTAAATCTCGAGAGTGCAGTCACTCTGAATGAAAGCTGTTGCTAACGTTGGTTGATGCTGGACAGTATTTACCTTGAGTTTTTCAAAGCACGGTAATCAAAAAGAATTCAAATTTGAAACTGGTATACCAACTGTCAAAGAATTTCACCATGGTCGACTGTGAAAGTGCAACAGTTTCACCCGTAAAAGCTCCTTTACTTTCTTCAGCGAAACCACACAGTAGTGAACACCATGAGCCAGACTGCAGTTACACTGCTCCACTCCCACGTGTCGGTGTGTGTAATTGGATGTTTGTGCCCCAGGGTGTTATTGAAAAGCTAAGAACAACCTCTCACAGAAGTGACATCTGTGACCACATATTTCATATTTTCTTTCTCTGAATGATAGCCTTCACATAGAGTGATGGCAGAAGCACAGTCCCTTTTTTTTTTTTTTTTTTTAAATTAGCCTTTTTTTTAGTGAAGACTGCTGAATAAAAGGTTTCATCTGAAAAAGCAGTTGCTGTACTCCTGAAGCTGTCTATGTCTGTCCCCTTCAAGCAAAGTGACCTCTGGATCAGAGAGGATGAAATTTAATTTGACATTTTCGTAACAGACAAATGCAATTCTGTGGAGGAGGGATTGAATTAGATATCAGATTGGCCCTCTCACAAGACCAACGCTAGTGATCCTTATTTTATGTCTTGTGTTCATGTTTCATGGTGTCTATGCCACGCAAGAATTACATTTGCATTAGTGGGCTAGTTTGACATCCTATATTATCACCTCCTCTTGAGACAAGGACGTCGAGCAGCACTGACCCCTCAACCTGTGCAGCCATGTACAGCAGATTGGCTCAAAGGGAGAAGGTAGTGCGGGCGGTGTAATTTAATAGGATTTCTGGTCAGGGAGCGATCGATCAGCTGCATTAGCCGCACTTAGTGAGGTGGGGCTGAGGGTAATGTTTAACAAGGCCTGACAGGGATGGATTAAGACACACCAGGCAGAGAGAAGGCTCTGAAGTAGGAAGGTAGAAGAGATTAAGGGATACAGATGCACAGTGGAGCGGAAAACATGTGGAGTGGGAAAAGAAGGGAAAGACCAATATGTGTCTGAAAGTAAAGGTAAATAACTAAAGCCAGGGTCCGTGTGCGTTGTTTTAACATAGGTTAAACATCTTTTTATTCACAAGTCATCCTGCATCTCAATGAGTTTGAAAAGGGAGAATTATTAGGGCAGACTCGGAGCTGGCTCGTCCACTAACAAAGTGCGGACATTCATCAGTTTGATCCCAGTCCCCCACATTCTGTGTGCTGAAGTATCTGAAGATACTGAGCCCCAAAGTGCCCCTGACGGCTGTGCCAAAAGTTTATGAGTGATGTATAATAAACAAAGTGCTGCACATAGATGCAATGAATTAGTGAGTGTTAATGGGTGAATGATAACACTTGTGCGGTCACCAAGACTAGAAAAGTGTTTTATAAATACAGACCATTCACCATCCTGTGCTTTGAGCACCCAGTGAACAGCAGTGCAGGTCAAAGGATAGAGCAGGGTAGTGATGTAGTGAAGCTCTGGATTTGAACCTAGAACCCCCTAGTCCCCAATCAGCACTAGACTATAAAAGTCAAGAGATGGATTCCATGATTGACTGGTTTCAGTCATGCAAGTGTTGTCACATATTGCAATTTGTGTTGCAAAAACTCTTCTGGTGATTTCTGCCATTTGTTTTTAAATTTGAATGTTAAAGTTTCGAATCTTACAATTCAGAGCCATTGATCAAAAAACTTATTTCACATGCCAGCTGACAGGGTTGGTCAAAGATATAAATATGTGATTCCAAATACTGTAAGTGTATTAAAATACAGCAGCCACACCATGTATCACAATATACTACTGTATTTTTTGTATATAAAAAATACTTTTCCCACGGAGCATGAAATCATTTTGGAAACTATGTTATATATATATATATATATCTCAGCCTATTTGATCTATCCCCTCAGCAGTTTACTCACTCAGTTGAAGTGGACCATTTTTGAGAGTAACAGTTTACAAGGCATGCCATAAATCTGACATTCAACCAGTTAACTGATAGTTCACTTCAAATAGTTTGACCTACTGTACCCGTTTGCTAATGAAGGGCCTATCTGGCACCAGCAACACTGACGACGATGACAAACAAGTCATTCATAAGCAGACGACTTATAGCACCTTTATCCATAGCAACTAGTTTCTAAGAAATTAATGAATCATTTAATTGCGCAATCTTGTCCAATAGCAGAGTCATTTGAGAAGAAAAAACAGCCCCACTAAGTTACACACTTAGTCTTAGAGGGAGGTTTTCTGCTCAGACGCGTTCACACCAGCAACAAATATCGTTGTTATAGCACCACCATGAGGTCAGCTGTACCACATTTTTTTGTTTGAGTGATCTAATAATAGGGACTAATAATGATAATGGTAATCCTCACAATTCCGAGAGGATTCCGGCACCTGCAGTGATTGTACCCTGAAAAGGGGAAATCAAAGTGAACCATATGGTGCAGAGCAAAACAATGATGAGACATCTGGGGCTGAAAAGAGATTTACAGTCTGATTAAGATGTCAAATCTCAATTGGATCCCTGTACACAGACAAATCAGCCTCCCACCCTATTCAGTCTTTGCTCAGACAATCCATCTGCACCAGCGATGGGCTCTCACGCATGGTCTAATCCTTGGTGAGTGACCAGGAGTCAGGATTCCTACCAAACAAGAACGTCCGAAATGCAACTTTAACAATCTTTCCTGCTTATCTTACTCCCTGGTGGTTATTACTGCTTTGGATATTTATGTCCAAAAATGCACATGATTGCAGTCTGCACAGCTCTGTGTAGTTACAGAGTAATCACAGACTCCCATCAGCCGGTCCATTCAGTGACACGCCAGCCTTTGAGCATCCGAAACATGTTCCTAGACTGGACGTCATGACTTCATAACTATTTCAGTGTGCATAATGTAGTTTGAGGCTATTCTTAGCATGCAGTCATCCCTGCTCCTTTTCCTCTAATGGTTAGGTTCTCATGATGTGGACAAAACAGGCTGTCCAAACTATCTGTCACTCCACGTGGCTTAATCAATGCTGACTATATATAGCTGTTAGGACACCGCTTAACTATGTTATTACAGGCAAGTTAGTTTTGAGCTGTGGTGAGATCAGAAAAAAGTATTTGGCCTCTTATCCATTTATATTGTATGTGCCTCAGAACTTTCTATCAAAGGTTCCCTGTGTTCTGCTCAGGAGCTTTTATATCTCATTTGTTTGTCTTATGCAAATGTACTTGGATGATACAGTCCTAAAAATGGTGTCACAGTATTCTGCATGTCAGAGTCCTGCACGGGTCCAATTTTGCAAACCCACAAAGCTCTGTACCCGATCTGTTACCTGCTATTATGGACTTGGAGATAATACAGCATTAACATAGGACCTGTGATCCAACCCGTCACCTGTTTAGACACACATGCTACGTACACAGTCACTCATATCAAATTGGTTATGGCCTCCATGCCCTCCTGTTATGGTGGTTGAGTTGTGTTCTTAGAAAAGTATCTGGGAATTCTCACAGCACCTGAGCTCCTGTTGCTGTCAGTGGGTTTTCTCAGTGACAATGTGCTAGTGGATATCAAAAGCTAATACATTGTGGCAAGCAGCAGCTCTTTACAAGCAGCAAAGCCACTAAGGATGTATTCACCATCGCTATTTTAGTCTGTCAGTTGTCGGATGTGCTAGCTAGTTTACTTTGGGCAGTGACAGTTATCTGAGTGGAGTTAAAGGGGTCAAAGGTGGTGTCATAGACTGTCACAATAAAATAAATCTTTGCAGGTGATTCTGTAGTATTTCTAAATGTTATAAATACTGTCATTTTAATTTCTGATTTTTGATTAGCATATTTGTTTAAATTTTACCCATGCCTGTACCGTGAATTCATATATATTTCCCCCCTTTACTCAACTTACAACTTGGTGGTTACCTGCCGGGTACCTGACCTGGTGCAGGACGCAGCTACCGGCGATGGTAACACAAGAAATCCTGCCAACCAATAAAGGCAGGAAGAAGACCACATGCGAGATAACAAAAAAGGGTTCAAAATACCATAGACATCTGCTTTATAAACGTTTTAATAGGAAGGAAATGAGCTTGCAGGTTTATTGCCTCTACTTCCTATTGGTAAGATTATGAATGATGAAGCAATGACCCTTCTATCAAACGTCTTTGTGGAAAAAATAATATGCCTGGAAGAAAAACCAACAGCCCTCCCCTCTGCAAAACCGTGGAAACAAAAACAAAATGTCTATAAGCTTTAAATCGCAGCGCGTTGGAGTTTGTTCCCAACCCCTAGCCCCTCCACAATAAATCTTGCTGGGATTTCACAATCCTCCACAGCACTGCTGTTATTTATTTTGGTGTCTGCCTGACTTGTTCAGAAACTAATGACAAATCACTTGTTCTCATGTTCCCCCACTATTAGAACACGCTGGACGCCTACCCCTGCGGCTCTGACCACACCCCTAGCCCAATGGCCAGTCGAATCGCAGTGGAGGCCGAAACCATATTGGACAGTCCATCTGCCCGTCTCACTGCTGTGTCAGTCAGCGTAAGGGTGGGACATACCATCGCCTTCCTGGGAGACTCCAAAGGGAATCTGCATAAGGTAACAGTGCCAGAGATTTTAATGCATGCAAAGACAAAGAGGAATTGTCATTAACGCTTGATTTAGGTAACATAGTATTTCTCATACCTTGCAGTACTTCTTGCTACACATACGCAGTTTTAGGCAGTTCATCCAGCAGACATCCAGTCCAGTTCTTTTCTCTGTTCACTGCCAGATGCTTTCATGTTATTGTTAAAAGAATGCAAGAGAAAATGCAGACTGTCCCTTTGTACTAATTTAATCATCATCTGGTAAATTATGCTAAGATAGATCTTCAAAAACATCAGTGTGTCGCATGTACTGTTATGTCAAATACTCATGACTAATTCATACATTCAGAGTAGAACTTTTGTAAGTTAACCAATTAACAATAGTACCACCAGAGCGACCTCCAGAGCGACCTCCAGAGAGCGCTGGTTTTCTGACAAAGTTAAAAATGGAGCTGAAATAGCTCTTAAATTACATTGTTATTGGACTTCATGGTAATTCAAAAATATTTTTGAACCTAAAATCTTGAGTCTCGACTGAAGCGACAGGTTCACCAGACTGTCAGTTTGATTTCCAAGGTGTCGTGGTTGAGTCACAGAGGGGTTAAGTAAGGCAGCATATTTTTGGGTTCAGGGTTCAGTGTCAGGGTGACAGAAATGTCCTGCTATTGATAAACTGAGAAAAGTAAAGAAGATAATAATCGTAACCCTAAACATGTCAGATGAGCATGTGTGTGTTTGTAAGGATATAAGTGGTACAGAGAAGTAGTACATTAACATTTTCTTCATTTAAATTTTTACTCTGCATTTTTATCAACTATCTCAATAAGTTCATAATTTTAGTCTTACAGTCAGTTCTTGAAGTTTATCAGCTGGAAGCATGAAACAGGGCAAGCATAAGGATCAGTATCTATGTCCCAAGTGCAGTAGCTTGATGATTTGGTCAGAGCATTCCAAAACAACAGGTCTTTTGGTGTGTTCCGAGTATGGAGTGGTTAGTACCCTCTAAAAGTGTCCAAAGAGGGACGACCAGTCAACCAGCAACAGTGACCTTGGGCGACCAAGGCTCATAGATTCTTGTGGGAAAGAAGGCAGGGCCTTATGGTCCAATCCCACAGAAGGGCTGGCAGAAACTGCTGGAAAACCTGAATGCTGCCCATGATGAAGCTGTAAGAACACAGTGTTAGGCAGCTTGCTGAGTATGAGGCTGTGTAATTGCAGACCGGTCAGAGTGCCAATTGCTGACCCCCGTCGAAAGCACCGTGTGGGTGCATTGTGTAATTGCGCCCCAATCATTCGGCATCGTGTATTGTTTACTTTAAATATGTGTTATTACTGTATTTTTCCACATTAGTTTAAAAATAGTTTTCATCCACTCTAACATATGAAGCTCCTGCTGTGTCTCCTCTTCCTTTCCTTTTTGAAATGAAGAATTTCATGTAGCCACTTGTGTCTGTCTCTGCTGCGTCTCAGTCAGTGGAGTTACATGCAGCCAAAGAACCAAATTTCTGATCGTATAAGACAGAGTTTGTTTTTTTAAAACACCTTAGTCCGATCTACATCGTTAAAAAAAAAAGGACTATAACGTACATCTCAAAATCGGAAAAGAACACCTAGATAAGTTGTTCATTGTCGGCATTCTAACGTCATGTAATACTCAGCCATAGTATCTATATCGATTCTTGCATTCTGCGCATGCTCGAGAATTTCCGCCGGGGATTTCACCTGGAGTTGGAAGGAGACGGCTCTGGTAATAAATAGTAATGTTGTTGCCGGAAAAGGTCAAACGACACCATGGCTTCAACGAAATCAACAACTCACATCTGGACGGACGAGGAGACCCGGTTCGAAAATGTTGAGATCATCCGGAAGTGGCTCTACAACCACTTGTTGAAAGGGCTACAGCGCCACATAGCGTAGCGGAGTCAGCCATGCACCGGCCATTTATTCGATTCTCTGAACGGCATATATACTCAGACAAGTGACAGCGGTCCGTTCAGTGACAAAATCGGTATATGGCTTAATCATATCAAGCCATCCCATGTTTACGTACTCAGTGTTTAGCTTTAGTCTGAATGGACATTCTGGACAGTTTGTCTTTAAGAAATCCGTGGGATCAAAGAGAGAGGAGTGTTGGTCTGAATAGCTGACCCCAAACCCTCCCAAACCTGGAGGATTGGATTAGCTCAGCATCAGGGAGATATCCCGGCCTGAATCGCCATATCAAATTCTTCACACCCTCCAACTCTTGCTACTGCACTCACACACCCAATATCACATCCAACCAAAGGGGATACTGGGAACTGGCTCTTCCTCCTGACCTACGCTTGATTTTTTTGGATGATGGCTGTCTTTGTTCCATCAGAGTTATCCTACCAGGAGAACATCTCACTCATGAGGTCAGAGGAAATTATGCAGATCTTTCTGATGACATACAATCTCAGTAGATTCCATAATAGCTATTTTATTGGCTTAAAAGTTCAAAACTGCCTGTGGAGCATTTGACCATTAGTGGCACTGTGGGTCCGTTTGATGTTACTACTTATACACAATGATGCAGGTGATTTTTACACATTCCTGCCAATGTTGGACACTATTCTAATGATTACAGGTTTTCTGTATTTCATCGAGATATTCAGCAATGCTCCGGCAACAAGAGACTGGTTGCATTTAATCGCACATTCAATCAATCATACAATCAACAATGCAGGTTTAAAAATGTAAAAGTAAATCTTTAAATCTACCTACCTACTAATTCCAGAAATCTCTGTCTGTCTGACAGTGGTTAGCATATCTCAAAAACCTTCATCTTATCGATGAATATAGTGCTATGTTGAGTTTGGTTTGATGTGGACACACAATACATTCAATATCAATCAAGTTTGAAAAAACAGGCGAGCAGCGCTCTGTAGCAGTAGCGACTGGGAATCATCAATAAGTGACTTTGTCGATCAATTCAATAAGCACCTTCACGTCAACTGATTCTCCAGTTTGGGGTTCTCCGTACTTAATTGGTCTTGGAAGATCAGGTCAACAACTCTTTGTGCTGCACTGGTGGCTTCAGGGTTCTGTGGACTGAGCCCAGCAGCTGGTTTTACTTGACACAGCTTTCTAGTTTTAGAGAGAAGGCTGCAACCAGCATTACCACAGTCCAGGCACACAGCCTACAGAGATTTTGGAGGCAAAAGGTCAAGGTTGTTGTGACCACACACCCCACAATTGTGCTTGTTTACTTTGGGTACTCAAGATTTCACATTCTAGTTGTGACAAAGTTTCATACAAATGCCTAATATCATAATACGATCCAAAAGCTTAAAGGTCAATTTCCCTGTTCCATCATACATTTCAGCAAAAACACTTTTTTGGGGCTTTAATGCTATAACTTGAGAACAGCAGGGAAAACTGTGACCGTACTTCTGGCTACTTGACTGGTTGGTGTAGGCAAGCAACCACAAAAGAGTTAGTCTAGATACTGTATAAGAAACCATTCACTCTTGTCCTCAGAAATTAGTGACAAAACAATCATAATTTAAGGCCTACTTACATTTTTTGAACGGTCATAAAATGCTTGATAGCATTGTCAAATTAAATGTATATAATTGCCAGTGTGGATGCATATTTTTACATATGTCATAGTGAGGTTATAAAATGTGTTAAATAGGATATTTTAAAGCAATTCACATTTTCAGTTGCCGCACAGTTTGTATTTATTTTCTTGTGAATTGATAATCATCCTAACATTGATTTTTGTGCATTTGCTCAGGTGTTCTTGGGGCCAAATGGTGAAGTGGAGGAGTACTCTGTCATCTCCATTCAGCAGAATGCAGCCATCAGCTCAGACCTCATCCTTGACCAGAAAGAGGAACATCTCTTCATCATGACCCATAACATGGTACTTCTACACACAGAGATACAACATACAGCAACTGGAGTCACATTTTATGGTTTTCCTGCTCTGTAGTAATAAAGCTATAGAGAAATAATGAAGACTTTCTGCCCTAATTCTCCTCTTTCACTGAGGCCATCTGTAGTTGCAATTATTCTAATGACCATATTTTCAATTTGTATTGTTCCACTGAGAAAAGTGGGCCACCTATGCTTTGTAATCAGATTTTCGGGGGTCTTAGTGTAGATGTCCTGCACGACTGAACATGATTGTGTTGTCCTGGTTCCAGCTGCAGAAAAGGCCGGTGGCTGAATGCCAGCAGCACCCAGACTGCAACTCCTGCCTGCTGGCCCATGACCCCTACTGTGGCTGGTGTGTCCTGGAGGGAAGGTGAGATAAACACCAGCTTTTAACCCCCGCCCTGTATATAACCTTATCTAGCTAAATAGAATCAAATCAAATCAACAAATTAATATGTGACTGATTTCATAATTCTCACGATACAAATGTCAAGATAAAATCTGAAACTTGTTGCAAAAGTCACCAAATCTCATGTAACCATAAACAAGTGATCACATAAAGAGCTACTAAAGAGCTTTAAATAGTTACATTCTCTCGCTCTGAGTGACAGATGCAGTGTGCGGTCTGTAGACTCAGCACCAGCTTCATTTCTGGATGGTAGGAGGAAGTGGAGACGTATCGTCCATCTTTTTGTACATGGTTCACACAAATACTGGCTACAATAAGCCACTGTAGGCTACTCATTAGCCCAAGCATGGCTCCAGCATCAAAGCCCTCCTTATGAATTTTATTTTCTAAGAGGCAGAGTGTTTCATTTGTATTCCTGAAAAGTAGTTACATTAAAAATAATGTTCCTTTTATTGCATTATAATATTTCAAAGCACCATTAACTACATGTAAATCTTGTTATTTTCTTTTGTAATAACTTACTGAGTCAAAATGAATGTTATGTTATATTATATTACAATATATTCAATTATATACATAACTATGATCATACCACACACTATATTATTTATATATATATGTATTTGTTTTATATTTACTCAGGTTTAGTTGAAATGCTTTTACTGAAATTAATCAAAAATAAAGTTCAGTGCCAGCTTGCAGTATCAGCAGACACTGATGTTGTTCAGAACTCGAGTTTGCTCAAGGGAAATCATGTTTGAGCCTGATGAAAGAAATCTACCACATCACGTCTCTGTCACAGTCTGCCACTCTTCATCTGTGTCCTCTTTGCTCTGCCTCAACACCTGGCCTCCCACCTCCCTCTTACCTAGATCATTCCCTCTCACTCCTCTCTGTGCCTGTTTACTTCCTTCTGGCTTCATAACAACCTTCCTATTACATTTATTTATTACAGTTTGTCTTTCGTAGTCCATAAACTTTCTTCATTAGTTTCACACATCATTTACGTTAGTTACTGTATTATTTTTAGTCCAGCTGAAGCAGAAACCAGACTTTTTAACAAGTCATAAAAGCATGTTAACAATCCAGGAAGGCGCTGGTGTGAAGTTTTACAATCCTAGTATGATTTATGGATTTGCCTTTTATACAGAAGATGGCTTTTCATGGTTACATTTTATAACAACTGCTTTGAGTGAGAGACGTAGAGTTTTAGAGCATGGCTGCTTTGTGTGATGTAACAGTGCAGCCTGGGTGGTTTTTTCATTGCAGGTGTGTGTTGCAGTCTGAATGCGCTCGTGGGAACCAGCCAGGTCAGTGGCTGTGGAGCTTCGACATGGAGCAGCAGTGTCTGACCGTCCAGGAGCTCAACCCCTCCAACGTCAGCAGGGAGGAGAGCAGAATGGTAAGACTGTAATACATAAACTATTGATGTTCCCATCTGTGCATGTCCGAACAGAGTATATGAGGGATCTTTGTTTTTGTGTTCACAGAAACATCTGTTTTTGGTTTCTGTTGACTCAAGATCAAGATAAACGTAGCCCTCACACACAGACAGATTCTTGCACTGATGGTACAGTATGTGCATGATCATATTCTGCCTGTGCGTGATCCCACATACCAAAATACCAAACAGATCTCATCCCACAATTCCTTATCAGATGAGCTTTGAGGTTCACTGCACGCTGCCTGGTTATGTGAGTTTTTTAAGAGACAGGGAATTAAGAGAAGATCAGAAGTGGTTAAGGTGTTGTAGGAAAGAACAACAGGCTCAATCAGCTGTGTGAAGGATGGTCTGTATAGAAGGGCTGCAGAGACACGAAATTAACACACAGTACAAACACTGGTTCATTGGACTCTTAATAAAAATAAATAAACTGAGGATGTAAAGTAGATCAGTTTGGATCATGCTAAGGTTTCCCTGGGGCTATTAGTGAGATACAAGTAGCTCAGCTAGCTAAGTGTTGGGTGGGTTTCTTCAAGTGTTTAACCAATATATAAATATCATGGATGATGTCATAGCCCTTGACAGCTTCCTCCTCTCTTACAGAAGAGCTATGGCATTTCAGATAACCACTCTTTACAACTGTGGTAAGCAGAAACCTATTGAGCATTGCCTCAGATCGACTACAGCAGCAGAGACCACATCAGGTTCCATTCCTGTCAGCCAAGAACAGAAATGTGAGGCTGCAATGAAACAGACTCACCGACACTGAAAGGTTAAAGACTGAAAGAAGCAGCCTGGTCTGATGAATCTGGATTTCAGTATTTATCCCATTATGGTCACAGTTGGCAATCTTCTACTGGCCAGAGAATCCAATCTTCACATCTTTGTAATGTGGTAGAACATGAATGTTTAAGTGATGAATCTGCAGAGATGATGTGATGCAGTCACATCAACATGGAGCAGAATCTTGGAGGAAAGTTTCCAACATCGTGTGGAATCAATGACATGAATGTGTGGTGTTCCTAATAAAGTGCTCAATAAGTGGAATGTCCTACAAGTTACACTGTATGTCAGGACAAAAGCCAAGTCATGAAGTCCAAGGAATTCATTGTAGACCTTTGTTCATAACATGTGGTTAGGTATAGATCAGGACGAGGGTCTACACCAGCTTTAACTGCTCCATGCAGCACAGTAGCCTTAATAACTGTGAACTAGAAAAGGTTTGGAACCAGAGTTCTCCACCTGCCATAACTGGACAGGAAGGGCCTTGGTCAGACACTACTACAGAAACTGAAACTTTGTCTTCAGAAAATGCAGCACAGAAACCGCCCAAACTCAGAATAAGATGCTGCATAATAACTCCAGGAATTAGTTTGGTGTCATTCGTGTTCCCGCAGCATGGAAATCCAGGAAATTTAGTGTTCCAATCAAATAACCTTTTATTGACATTTCCAAGTGACGAGAAGCAGAGAAGATTTATGTGTCAGACAGCTGAATCACTTACTGTCATTTTGACCTTCACTGTCCTCTGCTGCAGCACGTGTAGACTCACTAATGCTGGTTTCTCTGCCCACTACCTCTGGAAGCGTGTTTGTCTCTTCTCCACCATAGTGCCTCTGGATGTTGACTGTCACAGTCATGAGTTTAGCTCCTACAAATGTAGGATGTGGTGTCTCATTTGCAAACATGGAGCTTGTATGGATTCGCCTGTCTGAAGTGACTTACTTGTAGTCTGAGTCAGTGTCACTGTTTCATCTTCCCTCAGGTATCTCTGTCAGTCCCAGGTCTGCCAGTGTTAGAGAAGGATGAATCCTACACCTGCTTCTTCCAGAATAGCCACAGTCCTGCCACTGTCACCCAGACCGGGGTCACCTGCCAATCACCCGACACCAGCATGGTACCCATGGTGTCTTCAGGACAGGGTGAGTATGCTGTGCTAGTATACGGTTTAAATTCTGACTTGAACTTTTCACCTCGTGATTGCAAGGTTTGGCAGTGTTCTTCAACGAGATTAATCTTTGATCGTGCATGTTTTTGAGTGTGTGTGTGTGTGTGTGTGTGTGCATGCGTCCAGACATACATGTATACACCCCAATCCCCCTGTCCAGTGATCTAGGCTAAACCAATCAATTTTTTCTAAGCCAGTTTACACAGCAGGGAGTAATCTGTATTTTAAAGCATCCATCCATTAGCTATTCTACTTATCCCTTGAGGATCAAGGCATTGGGGGGTTGCTGCAGCCAGTCCCAGCTGAAACTCGCCGAGAGGCGGGGTACCCCCCTGACAGGTCAAAGGTTAAAGGTTAAAGCATACACCCTACTATAAATCTAATTCATCTAGAGCTGCAATGCTGTGATATGAGCTTTGGTTTGTCTGTGGGTTGATTGTTCAGCATGCTGAGAGAAGCTTGTTTGTTGTAATAAGTCAGGGACAGTGATAAGAGAAGCCTGAAGAGGCTTGTCAATAAAAAATGTAAGCGTCTACATGGGTCAACCTCAAACAAACATTCAAATGAGTTGTGTTTCTCTCTGTGCCTCTCTCTCTCTCACACACACACACACACACACACACACACACGCTGGTTCCCATGCCTGCATTCTTTAAAGTTGTAGCTTGTTGTAGTTCTCAGGGTGCGGGGCTCAGGCAGAATCGGCCTGGGGATTTACTGAGATATGGACACACAGGCTGCATTAAAGGATCGGGTGGTGGCTTACCTTTACTTAAACAGGGTTAGTGCTTGCACTCACTTAATAAAAGAGGGAGCTCAGGGTCTGTAAGAGCAACTGATGCTTTAAAATTGAAGATCAGATTCTAACCTGACTTCTGACTGTTTGAGAAAACAGTCCACATATGAAGGACCGCTTACTCAGTTGACATGTCTGATTTTATTTGTATAGCCCATATTCACAACTCACAATTTGTCTCATAGGGCTTTTTACAAGGTGCAACGTCCTGTGTGCCATCAGACACATCTGTAAACTCAGACTGTGTAAAAGCAACATAATTTTTCCTTCATGAACGCAAATGACGTACTTGTGCATATAGAGAGGGAAAGTGAGATCTGATCGCAATTGGTCGCAGGAGAAACATCGAGGACACATTTCAATACCATGTGTGAACAGTGATCAGATCTCTCAGGATGGGTGTTAATACCAGGTCTGACCAGGGTCAATGAGAAAAGTAAATGAAGTTGTTGTTGTTGAACATCCATCTCTTTACTGCTCCACTTCCTGCCTCAACCTTATCATACAGTGCTGACCACTCTTCTTTTACTATGAGGGATTATAACCAACATTTCAGGTTTGCCCACTTCATTGTTAACTCCAAATAGAGAGACTCCGATAATCTGGATAAAGTGCTGACTTGTTTAAACCCTGTCTGATCCTCTGAATGCTCGTGTGTCTGCATTGTCACCACGTTCTCTAATCTCTGCAAGTTATTTTGGAGTGTACTAGAAATCTATCAAAATAAAATAAATTCCCAGAATGTCCCTCATACAGCACCAGTGTGCAGTGAATCATCATGCAGTTGACACTTGTTTAAAAGGAGGGAGGTCTCACTGTGTTTATGTCTGCTCTCTCCTTGGCTGAGGCTGGAGGGTGCACATGGGTTTTATTAGGCCTCCATGTTTTGGCTGCCTGAACCAAACGTTCTCCCACGCACTGTGTTATGAGGAACATCGCAATGATCCCAGACTTTCTTAATCAGTGACGATAATCCTGACCAAATATTTTCAGAGCGCTGCTCTCTCAGCTCTGTGCTGTGTTGTTTTCAGCTCTTCCTCACGCTGTCTTTCTCTCTGTGTTTTGCTCTTTTCAGACTTTGTCACAGTCACGTTGTCTCTTCGTTTCGGCGACGTCACGGTCACATCAAGGGATTTCATCTTCTATGACTGCATGGCTGTGAAGCAGCTGTCTGGCAGCATGCCGTGAGTTACCTCTGAGGATTTATTAGTCCTGCTCTCCTTGTCCCCTGACCTGCTCTCATCATTTCTGTCTGGAGCAGCCTCCTCCCCCAATTTGTATCTTGGTCATTCTTTTGTCTCAGCATCAGCTCGCCCTTCACCTGTCTGTCTGATGTCTGCTTTTCTCTCCCTTTGATTTCTCCAAATATTACTCTACTACAAATACTCTTAATACTCTCTTAAGCTATAGAAAAATCCATGTCTGTATATCATATATTAGCTTCGGCTCGGAGACTTTACCTTTCTGTGCCTAAATGCCAATAAAATTCTCTTTTTCGACCTCTCAGTTAATTTACAAGCCTTGGTCATGATAACAAAGTGAGCTGAATATTATCACATGACTGACCCCATTTTCTTTCATACCTTAAAGGTCTTTTTAAGAAGTGCTGTTCAAATGAAAGAGTTTAACTTTTTAAAATTAAAACTACTACTGAAGCACTAATAAATGCTAGCAAAGCTAATGATCCTTGATCTGATACTTTTGTATGCTCACCATTATTATTCAGTATTATCTGGCATAAATAAAATAAATGAAAAAAAAAGAAATTTTATGCCTTACACTTTTCCCTTTACCTCTACATACCAAGTCAATTGAGATTAGTTTAAGACTTAAAATGTCTGCTGTGAAGCTACACCAACCAATGATGGAATCAGTTTAATTTGATTTTACCACAGGATTAAACTACAAGTGGTTCTGTTTCCTGCTGTGAGGTCAGTTCAGGGGATTTATCCAATAACAGATTTTATAGATAAATGGAGAAAAAAGCGGTTTGTATTGAAAAATGAAAGATGAAAAATCACAATGACCTCTCGTCAAATTGGAGGAAAACTTTGTACATCATTGTGCTTAGTTTCCTTCCTGATCTTCTTCACTGTGTTTCCACACATGCTCACCCTATCAGACTCTCTCTCTTCCCAGTCTCCTCTGATAAGAGTCTGTGGCTCGATTCATTTAGACCACCAACCTTTATTACCTCTGATTGGCAGCAGATTTGCAGCAATTGGATTAGTTTATGTGGTCCCGCCTCTTTGTCTATACTGATCTATCTCTACATATCTATCCCCTCTCTCTTGTCCCATCTCTCACTTTTAGATAAAAGAAAGTCAATTTCTCTTATTAGTCCTCTGCACTTTTCTCCTCATAACCCCTAACCTGGACTCATTTTCTACCTCATACTCGCTACAAGACTATTATTTATTGTATATTATCCCTATTTTCTCTTTTTCTCTGCAGTTGTCGTGGTTGTGTTTTGAGCCAGTGGGGCTGTAACTGGTGCGTTCACCAACACTTGTGTACCCACAAGCCCACCTGTGAGCAGGGAGTGATCATCTACAACCAACACGTAAGTCACCACCTTGTCATTTTACAGCTGCAGAAAAGCGGCAAGCACTAAAGTTTCAGATACAAAGATTTACATGGGTTATCGTTGAGTTGTCACCGCTCTAATGTTCAGTACAGACGTGTACTGAACTATGGATAAGCTTCGGACATTCTCCGGAGGGGGTGACACAATCTCAGGATGTTTGAGGTACCAACAGAGATGTTAGAGATCTTTTGGTTATATGGACAGATAAAGGTGTTTACCAGACTTGGCATGATGTGGTGGAATGTCATGAATGGACCAACACTGACTGTAATGTGTAATGCAGATTTAAAGTTACAAAACTTTGAAGTCTCAATTGCTGGTTTTGATTTGGCAACAGAAAGTGCAGTTTAGTACTACAGCAGCTACCTTGTCAGAAAGACAACAAGCTGTTGTTCCGGTGTGTGGTGCAGCCAATCATGCTGCACATGGCACGAGTAGTTTGTTTCACAACATAACTCTTCATGTTACAGCTGGTTTGGCCTGCTCCTGACTTTTCCATTGCTCCAAGCTTTAATTACAACTTACAAACTGTCTAAAGTTAAAACATGGCCACATCTTGTTTGAATGAGATATGCACTGCATTTCCTGTTCATGTTACACAATATCAGTGCCATTAGCTCTAGAGTAAACAGTGAGGTTGACATCAATGAAATAGGCTCAGAAATGGAGGTCTCCACTGCTAATGTAAAATATAAATAAATGACTATAAATAAATTGACAAGTCAGCCAATCATAATCGCACATTTTCAGTGGTCAGTGTTTTTGACCATCTCAACACATTGTGTGTATTCCTTCCACTTGCAGGTAAATCCCTTTCTCTCTTTATAAAACAAAAAATACATAGCTTATATGACTTTCATAATTTGCATTAATATTTGCCAATAAGCATGTTTTTTGTGTTCCTTAATTTTGTTATTATGTGTTGTCGGTATCACACTGCCACCAGCTGTCAGTGGGTGAAGTGGCATTACAAACAAAATAATAAAAAACTTTGCTACATAGTGCTGCTTATGGTCAAAATCTTTACTGGTACTCAAGGAGGCCAAGAAAGTATATGAAATGGGTAAAACATCAGTTTTATTTTTTAACACACTCTCAGTTTAGCTGCTGCACAGTACAGTCACTCATTACTGTTAGAAAACAAAACAGGTAACAAATAAAAATCCTGAGATGTTTCTTTTCTTGAATGTGTTGGTCTGAACCCAAAGATTTACAGTATCAGAACTCAACAGGTTTATGTTTCCTTCATAGATGAATGGTCAGTTTTCCTGTCATACATTCATTAATCCTCATGATTATTGTGCTTCATTTGTCAATACAAGCCTGCATTATTTGAAACAAGCTTCATTGATCTGCATGAGTCAACATTTATCAATAACAGCGGCTCATGTGTGTAACATCACATTTAAATTCAATTATTGGTTATTCCTTTTTGTTTCTGTCTCATCCTCTCCTCATCCCCCCTCCCCAGTTTGAGCTCCCCACCTCAGCTCCTTCCCCAACTAAAACCATTAAAGTCATCACAACACCCAGTACCACAACAGCTGCCCCGACAACCGTCACTGTGACAACCACCGGGACACCTGCTACAACAACAACAACTGTCGCCACAACGACAACAACCGCAGCCCCCGTCACTGTAGCAACCACTCATGAGACAACCACCCATATCCCGCCCACTAGTCCACCCACAACCACCAGCAGCCCTGAGCTGACCACCCTGCCCACCACCCTGCCCACCACCCAGCCCACCACCCTGCCGACCACCCTGCCCCCTCAGCTGGCCACCACCCTGCCACCCACTACAGCAGCCCCGACCACACCTCCAGAGGGCACCACCATGAAGGAAGAAGAGACAGAAGTGGGAGAGCTCATCGTTGTCACTCAGAGTGAAACCGCAGGTCCTGTGGTTACACCCACTGTTGCAGTGTGGGCTGCAGAGTTAGTGCCTGTCACCATGGCTGATGGTCTAAGTGGAGATCTCGACCCTGCAATGCCTCTGATGATCCCAGACTCCTTACCCCTGGAGGTGATGACGGAGTCACCCCCCACCGACACCCAGGAAGCTGAGGGAGCACTGAGCCTGGCTGAGCCTCCCACCCCCACCTCATCTGGCTTTCCCCTGCCAACGCCTTACCCAGTGGACGAACCAGTTTACTCTGAGCCCTCCCTCTACTTAGACCTGACCCAGCCGCCCATCCTGATGCCCACGCAGGACACAGAGGGAGGAAACCCTGCCGCTGACCCTGAGGTGCTCCTCTGGCCAACAGAAGAAGTGGATGTCCCTGCTGAGGGAGCTGTCCAGTCAGAAAATGACACAGCCACATTTTCAGCTGCCACTGTGCTGTCAGGTGATGGTGAGGTTGACCAGGCAGCCCCATCGTACCCCCATCTGTTGGATACTGACTCAGAGCTGGACTACCAGTATGATTCGGCTGATGCCTTCCTCCCGGTGAGTTCAGCCGCCTCCTTTCACGTCCTTCCTCCTCTTCTCCTCTACTCTTCCTCTCAAAGCTTCAGCAGCCTCTCAGCGCTCTCAGCTCCTGACTGGACTTTCTACTTCTGCTATGGGACCAAAGCTCAACCAGCTTCCTGCTCTGCACTTGTTTCCCTGCTCCTCCTTTGCTGTCTGACCACCTCTGCTCTTTTCTACATTTTTTTTCATTAACTGATTCCAAAAAAGACGATTGTTTGAGTTTGAGCTGAAACTGAATTGCACTAGACAAGAACTAAATAACTACAGGAAGGTGTCGTCTGAGGGAGATACCTCGTGTGTATGCAAGTATTATGATAGTAACTTTATTTCTGGAGCACTTTTCAACACAAAGTACCAAGTGCTGCACAACAACAAAAAACAAATGGTTAAAATACAGAAGGAAGTACATAATTATAATGATAATAACAATAATAGAGATAAAACATCAATAATATCTAGATCAGCCAAGAGTCAGGAAGTGACAGCAGACTTACCTGAAGATCGCAAGCTGGGCAGCGGAAAATAGGGAATTAAAACCTAAAAATAATAATTACAATTTTTGTCTTTATTTGAATTTTATTTATCTCACTGTCAAAATGATTTGATGAATAGGGTAAAAAACAACAAGACTACTAACTCGTTTGACTTTAACCTTTATTTTTTCATTAGACCCTTTTATCCAAAGCAACTTACAACTGAGGGACAACACTAAAGCTTCAGCACATTTTACATCAGGAATTTTAGGATGAACATTTAGGCTGATAATACTTTTCTCCTACAATAATCTGGTATCTGTAAAAAATTGTCAATTGTGAGTCTGTTAGGACAGATGAGCACAGTCTCAGGGTTCCTGATCCATTGTTTAAATAGGGAATTGTTTAGACTGGTTTATTTTTATGTACACAGTGCAAACTTTGAAAAATGAGGCCTCCACCGTGCAAACACCCAGCTTCTGAAAGACTGATCCAGGTGAGCTGGCTTCTTGTTTAGATTCTGTGGTTGGAGCTACAGGAAGCAGTCGGCCAGGTAAAGGGAAGGAGGGGAAGTCAGAGGGAATTTCCAAAGGATGAGACCTTGAATTAAGTACAAAGTGCAAAATCTGTCATGCGGGAGATCAGGTAAAGACATGCACATTGTGCTAGTTAGACATGTTGTCAGGAGAGGAGGTGAGCCTTCAGGAGGCTCTTGAAGACAGAGGGACACCCTCCTGTTCTACCAATCAGAGAACCACAGGGGAAAACAGTGTGGAATGTGACAGCTCTGTGTGAAGGGATGGCAGTGCCAGATGACGCTCCCTGGAGCAACACATTGGCAAAAGGAATGAAAGTGATGTTCAACAGAATGGCTGTATGCATCCTTGTCTTCTAATAGGCAGCTTTCTCCAGCTTAGTGGCTTTGATGAAAATAAATTCCCAATTTTGGTGTGTCCCCCTGCTGTAGTATCCCAAAAATATGTGTGTTTATACTTTGTGTGTGTATGTGTGTTGAACAACAGGGGGACGAGGGCTCCCTGGTCAGCTGGGGTTCCTCAGCTTGTCCCTGTGTGGAGAAGGTCCAGGGCTCGTCGTTGCTTCCTGTCAGAGTGGAGAGGAAGATCACTTTACTAGCTCGCAACCTGCACCTCTATCAGGTAACACACACACACAGCATTAACACTTGTGAACTGTACTGTAAAGCGCTTTGAGTGGTCATCAAGACTAGAAAAACTCTATATAAATACAAACCATTTAGCATGTCAGGAATGATCCTATTATCTGTCCAGAGATTTCTAACAGAGGTCTTTTGCGTGTTCAGGACACAGACCTGGACTACGAGTGTGTGTTAGTCATTGAAGGGCAGACGGTGGTGGTGGACGCCTACGTGGAAACTGATGATATGAATCCATTCAACTTTGACATTACCTGTCAGCTCCACCAGGTCTGATAATTTGCCGCCACTCATTGTAACACATTGATGTGTTTTATTGTGACTGTGCAACAAGTAGCAGATGAGTGTCCCTGTTGATGAAACCATTTGCTCTCCAGTACACATACTCGGCTCCGGTGGAGGAATACAACGCCATGGTGTATGTGAAGAGGAGGGACACCTTCCACGTGGACAGCTCTACTGATCTCTATGGTGAGGCCAAAGTTGCATTTGATTGTACTTAATTAGATCATATTTTTATTATATTGTGTTATTTTTATTATCTCCAAAGACCGGATGTCATTTAAACACCGACTGACCCTCTTCTCTGTCTCTCCTGCCACCAGTGACTTTGTACAACTGCTCTGTGGGCCGTTCTGACTGCAGCCGCTGCCATACAGCTGACCAGAAGTATGGTTGTGTGTGGTGTGGCACTGCTCAGGCCAGCTGCTTGTATTCAGACTCCTGCAGTGAACCTGCACAGCACACATGTCCTGCCCCCGTTATCCATTCTGTGAGTATAGGCCTCACTTACCTGTTTACTCAAGCTGCTTTCAGACATGCACTGAACACATAATCTCCAGAGGTTCTGCGGAAGGGTGCTAAGTGAGAATGCAAATGTCAAATATTTCTCCTGCCAGGCCCCTAATAAAATCTCTGAGCGGAGAATATCCTGCTGCGTGGTTCATGTGTGAAAGGCAAGAGAAAGTCGAGGCCCAATTCTGCTGCCATTTTCTGGATTTCATGTCTGAAAACGGCAGTAGTGTGGGAAACTTGAGATGCTTATAGGCATGATTTCTAATTAGACCTTTTTTACCATTAGTGTTTCAAAATCCAAATAAGCTTAACATACAATAAATCATTAAAAGAAAGGATACCTCAAACATTAAAAAGGTTTTTGTACTTGCCTCAGATTGAGCCGCTCTCAGGTTTGCTGGAAGGAGGCACCAAGGTGACCATATCCGGCTCCAACCTGGGCCAGAAGGCTGAAGACATCCTTGACTCTGTATTAGTAGCTGGAGTGGCCTGCACCGTCCTCCCCAGCTTCTACGAGGTCTCCTCCAGGTACACACCAGCTGCTGAGGTTTTTTTAAGGAATTTGATAGAATTCAGTGTGTGTTAAGATGAATTTTCAATACTTGCTCTGAACTGCCTTGCATAACTTTCATGTAATATCAATGAATAGAAGTGAAGAGGAACGTGCCTGACCTTATGTCCAACTAAAAGAAGTGCGACCATCTCATGGGTGATGTCTGTCTTCCAGGATTGTATGCATGACCAAAGCCAGTGGAGGAGAGAAGATGGGCCATGTTTCTGTGAAAGTCAGTGGAGGAGAGTTTGGTCGGTCCAGCCAGACATTCAGCTACCAGGTACATTAGATTCATTTAATTTACTCTGCGTTAGATTAGGTTTTGTTAACCTGAATTTTAGCATATGGCAAAAACAGGAAATGAATCAGAATGGAAAAAATGGAGCTGCCTGTGACACACACTGCCAAAAATTAATTCATCAGCATGGAACTAGGCTCCTACAGTTGTTTAAACATTTCATTTATTGTTTTGGTTCCCTCTTTAGTTAATACTTAATTCTGTTAAATGTCAGAAAATGGTTAAAAAGTTTCCATCACAGTTTCTGCCAGGATAAAGTTTGATGTTTCCACAATGCTATTTTCAGTTCAAACCCCAGAGATATTTGTTTTACATTGATATGCTCACTTTCATACATATACACAGGATATACTGGAGCCTCCACAGCTGTCACATTTCCTTTCAGTCTTATTTAGTTTATACAAGAGAAGAAATGAGGGACGTAGTTTATTATCATTAAAAATATGTACGACCAGTGAAAATGAGGATCTCTCCATAAACAGATCCACTAACCCTGATTCCCTTCTAGCCTTGCAGCGGTCAGCTGAGCAGTGATGTGTGTAGTGTGTTGCAGTGTAGTGGCAGTGCTCTCTGGTGGACAAACTGGTGATTAAATGCACATATCTGCAACCTTTATGAATGCCACATATCTTCGATTATTTTAAAGCAGCCAGTAAAATCAGGCTCTGGTGAAAAGTCTGCTCAGGCTAAGTTAAAACAAACTGCTGGCACAAACTTCAGCTGGTTAAAGACTTCTCACTAGGTCAAATAAATGGTCCCATATTACACCCATGCTTAGTTCTCTTCCTTGGCTCCCTCTCACTTACAGAATTCGCTGCACCATCAACCCCCCCCACATATCTAACCAATCTACTCCACCTTTATTCATCAGCTCGCTCACTCAGATCTTACAATTTAAATCTATTACATATCCCACACATCTGTCTAAAGACTGAGATGGCAGGACTTTTGTGACAATAGCACCAAAACTATGAAATGCAATGCCTGCATCTTTATGTTAAGTTATTTAGTGGAATCATTCAAAAACCAGTTAAAAACCTGTTTAAACGCTCAGGTGATGTATGTGTTCCAGGTCTGTTGCTTTATTCATGTACTTGGCTGGACTCTGTATTATGATTTTTATTGTGTATTTGTGTGTGTTTGTTTTCTGTTGTTATATTTGTATGGTCATGTAAAGCACTAAATGACTCTGTGAAAAGTGCTATACAAATAAACTTTACTTACTTACTAACTCCAAAATGAGCTCATCTGTGCATTTGAGCGGTTGATGCAGTTCTCCCTCCATCTTCTCTGTCCTGTCAGGACCCATTCGTGATGGGAGTGTCTCCTCAAAGGGGGCCCAAGGCCGGAGGAACGTCCCTGACAATCACCGGCCGAAACCTGCTGACAGGCCGCCCCTCTGACCTCAGCATCACTGTAGGAGGAGTGTCCTGTAACATGTGAGACAAACACACAGACATGTTTTGTTGGCTAAATGATGGGTTGGTTTTTGCTTTAAAGTTAGATTCAGTGTAGTTGTTGGTATTGACCTCTGACCTCCCTGCACTAGAGGGGAGAAGAAACTATTTCACTCAAAAAAAGTATCAAGACATTTATTAATTTGTCTCGTTCTCTTTCACTACAGTGTATCAGAAGTGCAAAGTTCCAGTGTTCAGTGTGTGACTGGCAGCAGTAACAAGACAGGAGATCAACGGATCACCTTGCATTACGGCACCAGTAAGCGTCACCTCCACTCTTCACCTTACCGCTACACCCACAACCCCAACATCACCCACGCTGCGCCAGCCAAGAGCTTCCTGGAGTAAGTCTCACAGTCTGTCCTCAACTTTGACCTCCTGTTCTCTACTTTAGAAAGGTTTGACTCTGAACACTAAAACTGTTTTCTCCGTTTAGTGGTGGTCGACTGATCTACGTGTCAGGCCACAACTTGGACGTGGTGCAGGAGCCCCGGATGGTGGTGACTGTCTCTCCTTACGAGTCCATCAGCCAGAGCAAAAGGAGAAGAAGGAAGAAGAGGACTACAAACGGGGAGGACAGAGAGAAGACACGAGGAAGACCAGTCAGGATGGTTCCTGACCTTATCTGTCCTGAAGACCCACTCTGCTCTGTCAAACAGGTCAGTGTGTGCAGAAGAGAGCAATGGGGGGGAAAATAGAATAGGATTAGTTTGGGCTTAAAATCGGCAAATCAAAGGTCAAAGTGAAGTAAGTTGATGTCATTGACATCCAACGTGTCAGCAACATGACGAATCTGCACTAACATTTGCAAGTACATCATCCTGCTGAGCACAATTTTTGTGTTTTACAACAAATGTGCATAAAGCACAACTCAAAGGTCCTGTTTTGAGCTGGTATCAACATCCATCTGGAGAGATCTGACTACAGGTGGACAGCTCTAAGCTCATGGGTTCACATCATTCACATTAAAATGTGTCTTGACTGTGTCTCCTGTAAAACCTGTGATCAGATCTCACTTCCCAGCTCTACATGTTGAAAGAAAACATTATGTTGTCTATGTCCCTGGTGATGGCTGTTTGTATGATGGATTGTACTAAATTTCCATGTCCTATTATCTTTTGTGTTTTTGTTAAATGTTATATGTCTTATGTGTTGTATAAACATCTTTCACTGAAGTTGAAAGTTAAAGTTTTTACCCAGTCTGAGATTACAGATGTGTTTGATTCTGATGTCTAGAATATAATATAGAATATACAGTAAGTGTCAGTTCCTAGGTTAACTATTCATAGAGTTGAATGGATTCTTGAGGAGGCCAACAATTATCTTAGCAAAATAAAATAAGAAAAAAACACCTGACAATGGATTTGCTAATAGACAATATATTTGCCCAACCCTAGTGTGTACCTGATGGAAACCAATCTTCCACTCTGATCGTCTTTTCTGTATCCTCCCTGTCGCATCAGTTCATGGAACGCTGCGAGGTGAACTCCTCCATCCTTATCCTGTGTCGCTCACCAATGGTGGACTCCTCCGTCTGGGGGTCAAAGGTCACAGTGGAGTTCCTGCTGGACAACCTGCACTTTGACTTCAGCAGATTGAACCCACAGGCCTTCAGCTACGAGCCCAACCCCAACCTGCGCAACCTGAACCACCAGGAACCTCTGAAGGCCTACCGCTACAACCCCGGCAGCTTCATCCAGCTGGAGGTCAGAGGAAATCTCGATTTTACTAACTGACAAGTGTATTTCTTTATTCTTGTCACTATTGCTTCTATATGGGGCAGAAACAGAAGTTACTCATGAAAAAACAGCAGTTTGGTCTCAATCTCTCTCAACAATTTCAAATCAACTGGAACCCAAAGCAGATAAACTATAACCCCTCCTTCACATGTTGTCAGGGAGAACACCTGGACCTGGCCATCACTAAGGACGAGGTGGTGGTGTTGATCGGGGAGGGTGTGTGTGCTGTGAAGACCTTGACCAGAAACCATCTGTACTGCGAGCCTCCACCTCAGCAGCCCGCACCAGGGCCCAACGGCAAGAAACGAGAGGGTTCCGACAACCTCCCAGAGTTCACTGTGAGTACACCTGCTTTCACTTAGCAGCCTCAGTAAACACAGGATGGTGGGAACGGTGTGATCGCTGCTGCTGGAAGCCTCTTACTGTTTGATTGAAGGGCTGTGTGTGATGTTTGTGTGTTTCAGGTCCAAATGGGAAACCTGAACTTTTCTCTTGGTAAAGTTCTGTATGACAACCTCAGCCCGTCTACCTTCCCCCTGGAGGCTCAGATTGGAGTCGGAGTCGGGGCGTCCATCGTGGCCCTCATTGTCCTCATCATCGTGCTCATCTACAGGTCAGTGGATGGACTGTGTCTGTATTCGAAACAGAAAACTGACACTGACCCAGCTTGCCCTTGTGATAAACCACACCAGAAACTGAGAAACTCTCTCTGTTGTCCTGCTAGAGTTGCACCTTGCATTATACAAAGAAAAGAATCGCTTTAACATGTTGTTCGCAAGTATAAGCGTGTCAATGGTTATTGTATGTGCCAACACCTAGTTGATGTTCATCCGGGTGTCATGTTTCCATCACTGCCATCAGAGCCAGAGCTGTTAAAAACCTGTATCTACTGCAGAGTCATTTGACCCTGGAGTGAATGCCGATTAAATCCATTCCCATTGCTGACATAAGCCAGATGTTTGTGGTTGGGGGTGTTTTTTTGACCAGTTGTAAAAGGGCTATAGTCAGCCTTTCTCTAAGTCTAATGTTTTCCCACTGATCCAACATAGAAGTGGTTTTACTGGGCCCCCTCTCCTCTTCCTCTCCTGACCCTCTGCTCTTGTCTGTGTCTGTCAGGAGGAAGAGTAAACAGGCCCTGAGGGACTACAAGAAGGTCCAGATCCAACTGGAGAACTTGGAGACCAGCGTAAGAGACCGCTGCAAGAAAGAGTTCACAGGTAAGAGAGTGTGAGCAGAGTGGAGTTACATGACTGAGAGGAGAGCCAGACGCAGAGGAACAAGGAGGTTTATTTTAGCTTGTGGAGATTAACAGATCAGCGTTGTTATCACAACATCCTGAAATTATTCCATTTCATCACAGTTCCTGGATTAAATGTTCCCCACGTCCCACATGGCTGCCGCAGAGTTTAATTTTAGTCTTTCGCCACTGTCCAATGTTAATATTTATGGGCTCTTGTCTGTCGGTGCAGTTCCCAGCACAACATTTCAATGCTGACCTTTGACCCCTGTCCCTTCACCCTGTCACAGACCTGATGACAGAAATGATGGACATGTCCAGTGATCTGGTGGGCTCAGGGATCCCTTTCCTAGACTACCGGATGTATGCTGAACGCATTTTCTTCCCGGGCCACCAAGAGTCTCCACTGAGGCGAGATTTGGACGTTCAGGAGTGTCGGCGGCAGACGGTGGAGCAGGGTCTGGTGCAGCTGTCCAACCTGCTCAACAGCAAACTCTTCCTCACCAAGGTAGTCATCATCACAATTCAGATTTCTAGAAACAACCATCCTGTCAAGAAGAGAGATAATACACCTCCTCTCTTCTTTTTCTAGTTCATCCACACACTGGAGAGCCAACGGACGTTCTCTCCCAGAGACCGAGCCTATGTGGCCTCCCTGCTGACGGTGGCGCTTCATGGCAAACTAGAATATTTCACTGACATCCTCAAGACTCTCCTGAATGACCTGGTGGAGCAGTACGTGGCCAAGAACCCCAAACTGATGCTGCGACGGTAAGAAGAGGGAGGAGGAGGAGGAGAGTAAAAAGTATGGCGGTGGGTTTTAATATATTTTGTAGTGTTATAACTTGTGTGTTTTTCTCTGTAGGACAGAGACAGTGGTGGAGAAGCTGCTCACCAACTGGATGTCCATCTGTCTTTATGCTTTCCTCAGGGTCAGTCCACACACCATGATTTTATATTTCTGTTTCAACCATAAACTGTAGTGAAACCATTCAGGTTAGTGTAGCTCTGAAATAGTATGGATTTGGAGTTCATATGACAAAATACTGACATGTGTCAAGTTCATAAGTAATCTTCCTTCAGGCTGGGGGAAGATGGTTAGAATATATAAAAAGCCTGTGTCAATTAAGTAAAATGACCTAACTTTTCCACCTCTTGAGCACAAAGTTGCGAGTGACTAATTTAAAGGGTGTTGAAGAGCGTCCTTGTCATTTGAGCCCTTCATTCTCTCCTGAAGTGTGAGTTTGGTGAGTACTAATTGTCCCTGTGTGTGCCTGGGCTTGTGTTTGGGCTCGTGTGTGTGTTTGTGTGTGTGCAGGACTCAGCAGGAGAATCTCTCTACATGTTGTTCAGGGCCATAAAACACCAGGTAGATAAAGGACCAGTGGATGCTGTATCGGGCAAGGCCAAATACACTCTCAACGACAACCGGCTGCTGCGAGAGGATGTGGAGTACAAGACCCTGGTGAGGAGAACTCTGACTTAAGATGAAATTAGCTTTTTTGTCAAATTTAGGAATCTCAGACATCAACTGAGACTTTCAGAAAGTTTTATTTCGGTTTTCTGCAGCGTTCCTTTCTAACATTCTCACACCACCTCTCCTCCTCTTGTGCAGACTCTGAATGTGTTGGTGCAGGGTGGAGGCGTGAATGAAACCCAGCCGCTGCCTTCCAAAGTGCTGGACTGTGATACCATCACACAGGTGAAGGAGAAGCTGCTGGATCAGGTTTTCAAAGGCACCTCCTTCTCCCACCGACCCCATGCCGACTCACTGGACCTGGGTGAGAATCCAGTCACACCACATTGGTTTTTAGACAGAGGGTTTAATGTGTAACTTCTCCACACTAAAATGTCTAAAAACGAACAGACCTATGTTATATATATATCATTACTAACATTATTTAACTGTATATTTGAACCAAGTGAAGGTTTGTAGTCGTCAGACGTCTGGATCTTAAGCTATCAGAGAATGGAGCTCAGCAGATATTAGCAGCAGCTCGGCTCGCTGCCCCTCAGAAATGCTTCATGCAGCATTTTTAGGAGATTTAATCCCTGAGTGGAAGATTAACACAAGACCTCCCATGATCCCACATTAAGAGAGGACATCAACAAGTTTCGTTGTTTGCTATTGTGTTAATTGGAAGTGGCAGACGATGATGTGTTTACCATATAATCCATGAAAGTATTTTTTGCAGTTCAAAGTTTTAAGTGTTTAAGTGAATTGAGAGAAATACATGAACTACAGGGCCTTTATTTTACATTAGTTGAGCTGCAGTGCCCCCTATAGCAGGACAAAGGTAAATACAGGGAGGTTTTATAATGCAGTTTGTCCTCCACAGCTCTTGAATTAACACTGGAAAACACCTGACAGTCTGTTTGTCCAAATATAGTCACTCACAGAGTTGTGATGGTGGGACTGTTGTGTCTTGTTCAGAGTGGAGGTCTGGTGTAGCCGGTCATCTCATCCTTTCAGACGAGGACTTGACTTCTGTGGTTCAGGGCAACTGGAAGCGCCTGAACACACTGCAGCACTACAAGGTCAGAGGGCACAATTCCCTTATGCACTTCTTCAGAATAGAAAACGCAAGAAAACAGGTGCTTGTAGATCTGTCTCACTAACTGTACATCTCTTGTCGTTCATCAGGTCCCGGAAGGTGCAACAGTAGCACTGGTCCCTCGCCACAACAAACACATTCACCATGACAACCATGACTATGTAGCAGGAGAGAGTGAGTGAATATGAGAACAGAGTTATGCAATAATTAATTTAGTTCAACTTGAAATGATTTCTGCTTTAACCCAACTCCAAACTGAACATTTTTACTTTTCACCAAGTGTCCTGGAGTTTTCAACAGGATGATCTTCTCCCCTCAAGTCATCCAAACAATTAACAGTGATTCTTTAAAAAGTGAATCCCTGTAAATACTCATTGACGTCAATGAACTTTATGTATATCTGACAGTGATGCTATACAAGTTCAGTAAATCTTATAAAGATTGAAAAACATTGATCTGTGCAGAAACGCCGATGCTGGAGGATGCAGATGAGGGTGGAGTGCGGCTGTGGCATCTGGTGAAAGCCAGTGAAGAGCCGGAGTTGCCCAAACACCGCAGAGGCAGCCTGAGGGAGAGGGAGAGGGCCAAGGCCATTCCTGAGATCTACCTGACCCGCCTGCTGTCCATGAAGGTAAATGCTCCCACACACATGCACACAAGTGTGTTCATATGCATTCATGTTGATCACAAGCCACAAAAGATCGTATCTCACCAGTGAATGACACTGAAAGCGGAATTTCCTCACAATGGCCTCAGTGGTTGTTGTTTGACATGTGACCAGTGTGAGTGAGTGAATGTGACATATCCATGATAACACTGGAGTGTGAGGAACAGATGGATGTGGACATGATTGCACAGTCAAATAAACCCTCCTCTCCTCTCACTCCTTCAGGGCACATTACAGAAGTTTGTAGACGACCTGTTCACAGTGATCCTCAGCACCAGCCGTCCTGTCCCGCTGGCTGTCAAATACTTCTTTGACCTGCTGGACGACCAGGCAGGACAACATGGCATCTCTGACCCAGAGACAATCCACATTTGGAAGACCAACAGGTACAGAGAGCCTGGTTTTCACATGAAAGGTCAAATAGGACAGTGAAGATGGATTTTTCATGTTTTTTATGGCATTAAGTTTTCTCTCCATCCGTCTCATGAACGTGATATCTCTTGCTTTGAGGAAATGTATTCAAATTTGGCAAAAACATTCACTTGTACTCAAAGATGAACTGATTAGATTTCACAAAGTATGTTAATGTTATTCTTGAACATGATATCTTAAAGGGATAGTTCAAAAATGAAAATTCACTCATTATCTACTCGCCACTATGTCGATGGAGGGGTGGGTGAAGTGTTTGAGTTTCATGGGTAAACAGCATTGCAGCCTAATCCGAAACAATTGAAGTAATTGGTGATCGATTCTTCAAAAGTAAAAAAAAAATAGAAGAAAAAAAAAAGGTAAAATACTGCTTCTGTGGTGTCATCCAAGAGTCTGTAAGCCCCAACATTCTAATTCAACTTGAAATACCCTCTGTTGTCCTCCTAGTTGCTACAGCAGTAACTACGTGGATGTTTTCACTAGTGTGTTTCATCTAAATTGTACAAATTGTTGTTTTCTTTACCCTAGAATGGGCCCTTTATATTGAAATACATTATATTTACACGTGGAGCTGGTCCTCTCTACGGAGGCCGCCATTTTTTTACAGTAGTCCAGACTGGAGACAACTAAAGGCTGACACAGGCTCTCTTTCATATTTGGAAGGGGAGGGTGAGGTGAGGGGTATTCAGCTGCAACATGAAACTTTCCACTGAATCTGTCACACTGAACCTTTTTTGGAAGTCTTTCCTCACTCTCACTCTCTTTCTCTCCAGCGCTCTCTCTCGCTCATGTCCACTCACAGATACTTAAACAGGCACACACACACACACACACACAAATATTATATTTCTGAGGTTGTTTCATCAGTGCTGTTTCTGTGCCCTGATGTCATGACTGCATATCTTCAGACTTACTGTTCCTGTGCAAACAATCAGATGAATTGCTCGTAAAAGCTTTTTTGTTCTTGAGGTAACAAATAAGTATGACGATGGAGAGCTGTGATATTAATATCTGCTGTTTCTTCAGTCTGCCTCTGCGCTTCTGGATCAACATTGTGAAGAACCCTCAGTTTATCTTTGACGTCCAGGCGTCGGACCATGTGGACGCTGTGCTCTCTGTCATCTCACAGACATTCATGGACTCGTGCACCATCGCTGAGCACAAACTAGGACGGGTGAGGAGGATTGTGGGGAGGGAGCATGAAGAAGCTACTTGCACATAATACTGATTTTAATTATGACTTATTATAAACATTTGGATATGTTGTAAGAAGTCTTTGCTTCTCGTTCCTTTCGTTTGAAAAACAGGACTCCCCCATCAACAAGCTGCTGTATGCCAGAGACATCCCCCGATACAAGCAGATGGTAGAAAGGTGGGTTCAGCCTTATTTAAATCTGATCTCCTACTCCTCAGACAACACAAGATAGATTTTAAGAGCAAAATCTATCTTCTAATTCCAGACATCAGTCTGTCTGTCTGTCTGTCTGTATGTGGCTTGCATGTCTTGAGAACTTTTCATCTTAACGGCTTCACACATGGCATGTGCATTGTTGAGGGCCCAAGTAAGTGCAGTGTCATATTTGGTGCAATTTGGACAAGTGATACATTCAATATTTATAACCTTTGAATAAACAGGCGACCAGCGCTCAACAGAGGTGATTTTGTCGATCACTGCAACAACAACTCATTTTCTGTTTAGGTTCTGCGTTACCCAGTCAAGCTTCACCTAGCTTTGAATAAACAGGTGAACAGCTGTAGCAGCTTGAGGGTTCTGTGGACTGAGTCCTGCAGCGGTTTTTTCACTTGACTTGGCTCAAAAAGTGCTGCAGGTCACTTTGACCATTTCAGAGAGAAAACTGCAACCGGCATCACCACAGGCCAAGCAAACATCCCATTACAAACAGGCAGGTGTAGAACGAGCACTGTTCTAGTATTCTAAAGTGTAGAAGTCTTCTAAATCTCGGTATATGAATATTGTTTATATATTGTCTGTACATGTAGAGTGTCCCCATCGGGCAGAACCAGTCTTTGTTCGTGCAAACTCACTCGGCCAAATACGCCTGATTCTGATCAACTCTTGTGTGTATGAAGTATATGATGACGTTCTGTCTTGCAGGTACTATGCTGACATCAGACAGACCATCTCAGCCAGTGACCAGGAGATGAACTCTGCTCTGGCTGAACTGTCCAGGGTGAGTGCAGCCACAGCTAACAGCCCCACACTGAGCAGGAACACACGCACACACAGACGCAGTGTGACTTCTAACCTGATCACTTTGTGTTTCAGAACTACTCCGGAGAGCTGAATTACCTGGTCGCCCTGCACGAGCTCTACAAGTACATAAACAAATACTATGACCAGGTGTGTTTATCACTCAGTCCCACTGTACACAGTCTGTGCAAGGCAGGATACTGAGCTGCAGTAAAGAGGGATGTTTGTCAGGTCTCAAAGCAGCTTCAGTCGAGGTGTAACAGAATGTCATGGCACAGTGGAGCTGAACATTGATCCTAACATGAAGTATTTCAATGATAGTGTAGTGATTCATCTGTAATAGTTAAACAACATTTGTGACTCTCAGTTGGAGATATTTCAACATATCAAGTTATTGGTGTAGTTGTTTTTTGCTATATATGAGTATTACTTAATGTTTTGCATTGTGGGTATTTAAGACTTTTGTAACTTATGATGTGATTTATGGTTAAAAGTAAAGCGGTAATGAAAGATTTTCACTACATGATTATCATGACCAAAAGAATGAAATATATAATAATGTTATTGTGATCTATAGAACATTTGAAAAAAAGTATTATAATAATAATAATGGCCAAAATATTATTTTACACTTTTTTTATTGTTTTAACTCAAACTATTTACAAATGGACCATAATGTGATCACTCTATTGTCTATCTATCTGCAAGTGATGTAACTAACTGTCAGGACAGGAGACAGTGGGAGAGACTTGATGTTACTGTAGTTGATACATCATTTAAAAACTTAATGAAACTGGACAGAAGACTTGGGTGGATGCTGGTGCCGTATACATTTGAGTTAAAGTTATAGTTCATCTTATTTTGCGTTTATCGTCTCCTCAACCTTTCTTCTCTTCACCTCTCTCTCCTTCCATCCACCGACCCGCCGTCTCCTCACCAGATCATCACAGCACTGGAGGAAGACACCACGGCCCAGAAGATGCAGCTGGGCTACAGGCTGCAGCAGATCGCTGCCGCTGTGGAGAACAAGGTCACTGACTTGTGACAGAGGAGACGCCCACTGGTGTGGCAGCAAACAGAGTGGGGTGGGAGTGTGGGAGGCTAAATTAAGAATCCTGCACTCTGCAGGTTGAACTGAGAAGCAGGAGAGCGACGGACAAATGGGAAGACTTTTGTTTTTGAGGAGGAGGGATCGGAAGCGAGGGGCTTTCAGGTGTTTAATTTTATTTGAAAAAAACATTTTTTTCAGATCAGAAGATTTTAGTTGGCATTAAAGTTCATGTCCCAGCACCGTTTGTCCTTTTGTCATCGGGGGTGCATCTGTGCAGTCCAGAGACTGAAGAAACGGAACAGCACGTGGACACTGAACAGACCTGGACCAGGAGACACCAGTCAAGCCTGCTGCCATGCTGAATATGAGGAGGAAATTTGGATGAGTAGAAAAAATGCTGGACTTGACTCTGTTGTCTTACACAGCAGCTCTCGTGTAAAAGAAAGCAGCTGATGTGATCCGAACAGAAACAGGGATTTGACGTCACTGTTTCCCCCTCTGTAGTAAATTTCACCAAGAGGTACCTTTTTAAGCCTTGTGTGCTTGTCACTGCTGTATGATCACAAATCTGTGTGTGTACGTGTGTGTGTGTGTGCGTGCGTTAGTGTTCGTGTTGCTCTGGTTGTCAGTCTCCATCTTGCATTTGTGGCTCCTCCTACAAAAAACTGAAGTCAGTGGTGGTGATGTTTTGGACGATACAGGGGGAAAATGCAGTGAACTCATCTGTAAGTCACCAGTTTCACATGTTCTAAGAAGGAATCCTGCCACTCTCTACCTCGCCTGCTGTGCTGCATTACACTTGCCCTCATTTCTGTGATGTCACAACCCCAAGAAGATAACACTATGTAACGAACATCCAGCTGAAACCACCAGTTCACGTCTGTCCTCGCACACATACACAGCAACACCTGCTGGACATCTCATTTGGAGCGGTACGCACGCACACAGAAACACACACAGATATGTCAGACATTTGTAGTTGCTCATTTTTCCGCTTTTGTATAAGATTACGAGTCAGAACCTGCTTGTCGGGGCATTTTAAGGTACTTAAAAACAGACTAAGTGACACTTTACTCTTTTTTTTTTTTTCTCGCTTTTCGACTTATTCTTGTGGGTGTGTGTATAATGTACAAGTCACTGGAAAGATGTTAGTGGAAAAACAGAAATCCTTCCATAAAAGAAACTCATATTAATGAAGTGGAGTCCTAGTGCGTGCTGTAGTGTTTTATTGTGTATTTTTCGATTTTGTACATTTTTTTAACATTCCTTTTAGGATTTGAACAATGTCTTAAATCATGGTTCACCTTGTTCTCCTTCAAGCTGAGGCAGTGGTACATGTCTTTTATTTTGTTATTGGCATTACGGTTGGTATAAAGTTCTTGTATTGAACACAAGGTGGCACTGCTTCACGTGCTGAAGGTCTGTATGGCATTTTGTTATGTCAACTTGTTCCAGGTTATGTATTGATTATACTGCTACTGGTTCAGTAGGTGTAGTCGACCTCGTCACACTGTTCTGCTTCCCGCTTGGAGCACAGAGACTTTTCATACAAGCTGATGTTTGCTGATGTTTTATTTTTATTTAAATGACAAAGACTGATACGTTTTCCCTTTTTAAAAAAGTGTTTCCTAACTACCCTGTATGGTTGGGGTGGTGCTTCATTTGTTTTGGAGTCATAGAGATTACTGACTGGGCTCAGCAAAATAAATCCATGTCGACTGGGAGACAGACTTTAACACAACACAGCACAGGTACAGATCTGATGCTGGTTTTAGATTTCAGATAGTTGGATGTACTGAACACAAACGGCTGTTTAAGAGTTAAACTACACAATATTTATAAGAAGACCAGACTGAGAATCAGACTAAATACAGTGCCAACTATAATATTCAAGACACAGTTCAGTCACCACCTCCCCAGTGTTGAGGTTTGAGAGCCTGCCCTGCTCATCAGTGATGTGCGTCCACTGAGTGTGTCATTCCCAGGTCTTGGAGCAGCGTGTCAGAATGTAGCCCCTAGGTTTATCACTACAAAAGCTAATGATTCAAATGAACAGATGGTTTGCTGTGTCACATGCTGTCAGCTCAGATGGGACTGAGAGCTCAGTGATGATACAGACAAATCGGCCTGAGGGAAAACTCTTAACTTTTATTAGGTTGTAAAAACTTGGCAATGTAAAGGAGGCTCTACAGGGAGCCACTTTAAGGATATTTCTTATTTTGTGTGTTAATATCATGCTGATTTCAAATGTAACTGTAGCGATTTAACATGTTTAATAAGAAAGAGTGCAAATTCTCACATATGCTGATGTAATAAAGTATTCTTAAAATGATGGGTGAGGTTTGTTTTTCCATTTCAAAAACCTGTGGATACACACAAGATGTTCACATGTGCGGGAGTGTAACTAAAACACAGGAACAGCTGTGGTCCCAGCCATAATAAAGGACAGGATGCCGCTGGTGTAATATGCCTGGGGCTGGATTATCTGGTTACATGTGTGTTCATGGGCCTGAGGTAAAACTAGCAGTCAGGACACTGAGACGTACACTCATCAGTAGGGTCGATTGAGTCAGTTCCTGAGGCTGTATTCACAAAAGATCTTATCTTAACACAAAATGACACTGAAAGTTCCTAACAAAGAGGTTCCTCCAAAGGGCTATTCACAATGCTGCCGAGAACAAGGCTGCGTTCTCAGGTCGAAAAAAATATCTCCTTTTCCTAAACAATCTCCTTGACTTCAGTGGAAATACAAGGTCAAGGAAACTTGAAGAAGGATCCATGAGGTGTGAGGGAAGAGACAAGTGGTCAGGGGGGCACAGGCCCCAGCTGAAATCAGATCTGCCCCTTAAGTGACCATGTCATCTAATTTGTCTTTTAAAAAAACATTTTAACAATATGACTATTTAAGATTTTATTTATTTTCCAAGCATTTTTGAAAGACACAATGAAATAGAGTTCAAAATGTATTCAATGATGCTTAGCTTTGGACAAAGCAATGGAGCTAAAACTGTTTTTCCGACATGAACTCAGGAGGTTATCTGCAAGATTAGGTCTGGACTTCGGACTGGAGATGTCTTTCACACGTGAACCACGCAGCAGGAGACTCTCCACAACCATGTTAGAGATGTCATCAACACATTCACTGGGTTGCATGATGCTCCGGAGAAGGTCCGGACACTTGTTAGGAGCATCATGTCTGCCCTGGTCTAAATTAAGATAATTCCTCCACACTAAGGCACAGTGTTAGTGCTTAAAGGCTCAGTGTGTAGAATTTAGTGACACCAAGTGGTGAAGTTGAATGTTGCAGCTCAACACCCCACACCTCACCCTCTCCTTCCAAACATGACAGAGAACCTGTGGTAGCTTCAGTTGTTATAAAAACTCAAAAGGTGTTTAGTTGGTCCAGTCTGGACTAATGTAAAAAAAAAAAACATGGCGACCTCCGTAGAGAGGGTCCCCTCCTGATGTAAATATAAAGTTTTTAAAAATAAAGGTCCTGTTCTAGACTAAAGAAAACAATTTGTACAATTTAGATAAAAAACACCAGTGAGAACATCACAAGGATTATTTTATATTTAATTTCAGCCAATAGATCCTTTCACCTAAATCCTACACACTGACCCTTTAAAGACTCGGTTGAGTTAGAATCTTACATTTAAAACCGAGGCCACCTTTTATTTTCCTACTTTCCTCACTCGGTTAAGTGGATCTCCATCTTAATAATGAATCTCCAGCCTGACGCGTATTCAAATCTACCAATATAATCATAACGAGGTTAGAAGACATACATTGCGATAGCCGCCATTCCCCCCCCCCGCGTGAACGCGCATATAAATCACCACAGCATTGATATGAGCGGAGGATCTGTTACACGCGCACGGCAGGAGGCGGCGCGCGGCAGTGCCAACAAACACCCTGGGTCCAAATGGCGTAACGCTGCTGTCAGTGCTCGACGGGAATCCCACTGAATGTAACCGCACGTCCGCACGCTGCTCCGTCCACACACCGAGGGGAAGGCATCTTTGTTCTGTCTACCGAGCGAGCTGCGCAGCACAGGTGAGCTAACGCAGCGATGCACGGCAAAACACCCCTGCAGGCTGGAGCTAGTCCCGTTAGCTTCCAGACGCTAACGCTACCGTGAGCTGGTGGTTCTAGCCACCGCTGCCTGAGGGGCAGGGCCGCCTGAACCGAGCGTTGAGTGAACAGCGGTGCTCGACGCGCCAGCGGGAAACAACCGGGATCCGCACCGGAGTGGCCCAGCGGTTTGGACGACAGCGGGGCTCTGCTAACGTTAGCTGCATTGTTTTCGTTGGGTTCAAGGTGTGCAGCGTGTTTGGGAAGCTAGCGGCTGTCACATACGTAGAAACTGGCCAGCTGTGCTTTGTCTTTTCACCGCCATCGTTGACTCGAGACTCCGGTCGTTTGTTGGGATGGTGTCATTTGAAGCTAACATCTTATTCACGTGTCGCATAACGTCAAGTCACACTTGATTCAATTTAGGATGAGGCCTTGTTGGTGAAGTCCGTTCACTGGGTTCCTACATGATACAACAATGTTCGATGAGAACGCATCGTCCATCGATACAGGTCATCTGTGTCCAAGTTTAACTGATGCAGTTCAAAGCTCCAGGTTTATCCCGGTTTGTTCTGTTAGCTTGTCATGTTGGTGCTAATTAACCATTCATCCTTTCATCAGATCTGCTCCAGGGGCCTGGTGGCTGCCTGCGAAGACCTGTCAACATTTTGAATTATTATACGGTAGCTTCTGTCCTCTGCCGCGTCCTGTTCCATGAGGAATCAGTGCTGCACAGGACGTTCAGTGTTTGCTTCTGTTTTCCAGTGAAGGATGGAGCCATCAGAGCAGTCAGGCCCAGGCTCGGAGTCTCAGGATGTCAACCCTGTGTTTCTGCAGCAGCTGCGGGAGCTGGACATCCCAGAGGAGGCAGCCAAGCAGGTGAGACAGGAGGGTGCTCGCATGTTTCTGCAAAATTAAAAAAAAAAATGTAAATGTGATCGCCAGTGAAATCCTGATGAAAACAAATGGAATCATGCACACAGTTGTCAGCAGATTCCAACTCTAGCTTCATTCATTCAGTAACACATTAAGTCACTGCAGTGATCCATGCTTTGTAATATGAAAATGCAAAACATATAATTCACCACTGCTACACGGAGATAATTACCTCATTATATAAATTCTAAATTAATTTTGATAGCATACTGTTAAAAGTTTTGGTGATTGCGAAAGTGTATAGAATCAAATCAGGCATTTCATTAATATTCAGAATACGACTTGAATTATCGGGGTCACACCCAGCAGCTCACAGTTACCAATAATAAAATATTCCATATAATAATTGGATATTAATTGAGCAGTGTGAGTGAAATGACTGGAAAAGATAATGTCTTCTTAGTTGATTTTTTCTCTCTGCTATAATTATGACAGGCGTTACCATAATCAGCAGCTTATTTCTCTGACCGTTGTTGTTGTTTTTCATGACTTCAGGCTCTGCTGCACACTCGGAACGTGTCTGCCGAAGAGGCGGCCATGTACTACTTCAACAAGCTGGAGAATGAGGTGCCCATAAGCTAGCCTTAGTCCCCACAGGTACACCTTGGTACATTAGACCTTGTGGAGTTTGTCCAAAACCAAATCTCAGTGTCTCCTTTTGTCTGCTGTGACCAACAGGAGGAGGGAGATGACGACCTCATGTTCAAGATGGTGTTTGTGGTGAACATGGACCTTGCCATGGGTGTTGGGAAGGTTAGTCCACTGGCGCCAATGTGGACCGTGTATGTAGTGTGCTCACATACATGATCTATCTTGAAGAAAGTGTTTCCCTAATATTAAACAGTAGCTCAGTAGGGGTTTCCTGCTCAACTCACAAAAGTAGAGGTGGAACCTTTCTAGGTCTTTTAGCCTTTAGGTTAAACCCTCACATTTAATTATACCTATCTCTGGTTTTACAGAGATGTAAAACTGCAGCGTGCTCTGTTATTTCACAAGCTCTGTCTTTAATTTACATTGGTCCGGAATTTCCCAGGTCCTTCCAATAATTAACACTCTTTCTGTTCAGAGCCGTAGATTATTGTGTTCGTATCATTTGCACTAAAACAGTTATTATGATTCCATGCAAATTTTATTTTGAGGTTGTTTGCAACCATTATTTAAAGTCCATTTCTGTTTCTCAAGATTATTGTGTCACTTTATTCAGAAACAGAACGTAGAAACCATGATCTGTATGGCTAAAAACTTTTTTGTTGTCTTTTTGTGCAGGTGGCAGCCCAGGTAGGCCACGCTGCTGTAGGTTTGTACCAGGCTCTACAGGAGAAGAACAGCTGGAGGGAGATGGCCTGGAAGTGGGACCACAGTGGGTACGTTAGTAGGAGAAGTGCATACATTATGCATTTACAATGCATTCGCTAAATTAATTTAATTGATTATGCTGAATCTGCACAAATTTAAAGGTTAGATAAGTTTTTTCTTATTCCACCTTCTGTGAGGTCACTGGTTACCTCACTTAAACAAGTTAGCAAATTGAAAACAATTAACAGTAATAATTTATTTTTTATTTTTAAGGTTTGCTTGACCACTACAAATGTTATTTCCTTCAACTATGTCAGGATAGAGCTGTGTTTATGCTTTTTGTTTTCTTGCTTTTCCATGTGTCTGTGTTCTGCTATTATTCTAGGCTCTGTCAGTTTGGTTTGTAGAATTACTCAGTTGCCTAAACTGATGATCCCAGAAATGCTTTTTTATATGCGCTCACCCAGCACTCTATTAGGAACACCTTACTTATACTCCAACCAGTCAGAATATTCTCCTCAGACCTCTCAACAACAAGGTGTTTCTGTCACACATTCAAAGAACTGCTGCTCACAGGAGGAGTTTTTGATCTTTGCTCCATTTTGAGTAAAACTCAGTCAATGGGTTTCCTTGATTTAAGGTGAGTCAGAGGTGGTACCACCCTGATCATGTGAACACATGTTCATGTGCGCTGTGCCGTCAACTGGATCAGGCAACCTTTCTTAGGAGTTCTCACTCATTATTTTACTGAAGACAAAACTAAACATGAAAGGTCATTTGTTGGTTCAATTTTCTCCCTAAAGACACAACGAAGACAGACAGGTTATTATGAAAGCTCCAGTTAATAAATTAAATAAATAATGCTTTGTTTGTGACAAAAGTTCTGTTACATTTTTTTGGGACAAAGTGTACAACCCACTGTGCTCCAGGCGCTGTGGATCTTTTAATTTCAATGACTGCTTCTCTCCCTTGACAACCCCACTCTATGTCCTCTGGGACCTCCCGATGAACAAAAGTATTTTTTACCATTACTGAAAAATCGATAGACTGTGGAAAGATGTTTTTGTTTCTGTATGGACATGAATGGGTTAAGCATGACAGTGGCCTGAGGTGACCATCTTTAGAGAGGTAATCTTGGCTAGCTAACCACGAGTACTGTAAATTAGGGAATACAGCAACTCATAGGAACACCGGTGTTTAGCCACAATACAGAGATGGTGTACATTTTTAGTGTGCAGAGTGCCTTAATGTCTTCTACATCCTCACATAAGCTACAGCAGCAGGCAACAACTGGGTCAAAATCAACAAAGATCATTTTACATTGATCATTTTTAATAATAAACATTTTTAATTATACAGTAAAAATCCATTCTGATGTGTAAGTGAAGCTCCTGACTGGTATCTGGAGCAGGGTTTTTACACTGCACTGCTGTCGCATGATTGGCTGTTTGTACGATTGCTCGAGTAATCCGGTGTTCAGAATAGTGTTTGGTGAATGTGTTAATAAAGTAGCTGGATATTGAAATGTAATCTTGATCTATAAATGGTGTGGTGTTGACACAGAGCCAAGAAGGTGGTCCTCCAGGGCACCAACGTGGCTCATCTACTGGAGCTGCAGGCCCTGGCCATGAGCCTCAGCCTGCCCACTTACCTGGTCCAGGATGCAGGGCTCACTCAGGTGAGGGGAAACATGCCTTTTCCAGTCTGGTGTCCAGCCTTGATGTGAATATGTTTGAGAATATCAGCTCTGAATCAATGCGTCCGGTTTTTGCCAGGTGGAGGCTGGGTCCCGCACTGTTCTGGCCATCATGGGCGAGGAGGAGATGGTGAACAACGTCACTGGGAGCCTGAAGATACTCTGAGAGGCTCAAACCCATAGTGGGGGAGGAATGTCTCTGCACTGCCACAGTGCAGCCAGCAGGGGGCAGAATTTCCCAGCAACGGGAAGTCTTGGCATGCAAGAGTGTAACAACCTTTTAAAAAAATTAAAAAAAAAAAAGACCTAAAGAACAAGGGAACAAGACATACCCCAACACCAGAAAACAAACACTCTTGGCCATTTGTTTCCCTTTCATTCTTTGTCTGAGCCGCTCAGTCGGCCATTGAGAGCAGGAGGGGAGAGAGAGATGGGTTCCTCACAAGGGAACAAGATGAAGGCAGTTAAAACGTCTTTTTTCTGTTCTGACCTTTCCCTTTTCTACACAGGCCTCCCACTTCACAGTCTTATTAGAATCTTAATCATTTTTCAAACACATCTAGTCTGTTGTCCAGTTTCAGGCAAAGTCAAACCAAGTAGTTTAGTTGGTTAACCAATATAATAGTTCTGCTTCTTGAATGGGCCATGTATTGTACACTACGACATAATGTAATTAGAATGAAACCCATAGCAGATGTAGTTATGTGACTGTTGTATTCACTATTCCTGAACGATGGGTGATGTATTAACCAATAACATGTGAACACTCATTTTTGACATTTCAATGATTTTGTGTCTGTATGCAACTGTTTTCCCAAAGATCCCTTTCCTATAGACTCAGTAACATGACTTATTATTGATAAATGGCTATTTTATATGCATACCCCTGTTAGAGCCCTATACTGTATAATGTGTGGTGTGCACAATTACTGGACTTTGTTGGGTTTTTTTCCCTAAAAATATCCAAAATAATTTAAATTAGTAGAATTTGATGGTGGGATGTTACAGTCAAACTATAATGTCAAAATGTAGTCAAGGTCTGAGCTGGGCCTAACTTTCTGCACTGCCTGTGGCGAATAAGTTACAATAATGAATTTGATCAAATTACAGTTCGGGAAAATGCAAATGATCATGTGGATGACAATTGTTACAGACTTGGTGAATAGTCTCGCACACTTATAATCTGAATACACAAAGAATGCGTGATCTGCTGTGTCTTTTGTTCTCACTAACAAATATCTGTGGGCATGAGCTGCCACTCCCAGAATTCTTAGCCCACTGTCAAGGATTTTATTTGTAACACAAGCCTTGGCTGTGGCTTGCATGCAGTATGAAGTGTATATTTAAGCAGACATTCACTAATATGTCCACACTTTGATACCTCTTGTGTCATGCAGTCGTTTGTGTGAGTGCTTTCAGACTGTGGAGAGAATTAAAACGCCTCCAGATGAAGGAAGGAGCAGTGTGTAGTCGTGTGTACTGACAGTGGTGTGGGGGAGGGTCAAACTCAGCCATGTAGCTGCAGAGCTGGGTTTGGACTGGTGATATGACACTGCTGTTTCACTGCAGTAACAAAGGCAGCATTGTAGAGGACTGCATGGTTACTGGTCAGCATGGCAGCCAGGGGGGGGTTTAAAGGAAATCAATGTGATGGTCGTGTTTATTACACAGGCGGCAAGCAGGGGGGAAGCCGATTCTCTATTTTAAGAAAAGCTCCATCCACTGGGTAAGGGTTTAGCTAAAGATAAAAATAAAGACATGACAATTCACTTACAGCTATGCGCATTTTCTTTCCGTTAAAGATTAAATGAACATCTTTATTCCCAGTCCATGGCAAAGTGGTCGTTGGTATATTAGATCATTTGCTGCAACATGAATTCTTCACTATAGTTTAAAAAGTGGGTTATGTGTATCGTGCACGTCACGAGGAAGCCTGCAGATGTGCTGCTTATTACAAATACAGCAAAGAAGCGTACTGCTCTCTCTGCTTTGTTGGCCATATACCTTATTCTCATCTAATACGCTCCCGTACCATAACGAAGGTTACTGTTCGGGCCCACTCCTCCTGATGTTATTATGTAAGCTCCGCAGCCGCAATGTAATATTTTATTATCCCGGTGTCTCATCGCTCGTCACACCTCTGCAACAAATGACGTTGACGTTTCACGCCACAGCCAATCACAGGTCTCCCCTCAGGTCGCATGACAGGCCAGGAGACCAATCGCCTCGCTCTCAACTCACTTGATAAATATCTCGGCTTTTATCAGATGTGGTCTTTATTCACTATTATATGTGTGGAGATGACGTCTGCGTGCGGAGGGCTGTGACAGAAGTCAACAAGAAGTGATCGGGGTTCTGTCGTGAGACGCTAACATCTCACAGCGAGGTGGCGCTTATTGCTATTTCCACGCCTCCGCTGGTGAAGCTCCCACGGTGCGTTCGTTTTACTGACCCGCTGCTGCTGCTGCTGGTGGTGGGGACATCTTCCCTTGTGTCTGTCTCTACTTTTAGTTTGAGCCCGTGTGGGAACAGACTGATATCGGTACAAAGAGGAGGAGGGACCAGTGATACGTTGACGCAACCGAGTCGCTCGGGTCAGTTTCCCTGCCCACCCCTCAGCAGAGGCTGGCGGAGCCACTCATCTGGCACCCCGGTAGGTGGGGCTGACCCGGCGGGCTAACCCTGCCTCTGGAGCTGGGCCCCACCGAGCCCATGTGGCCAACGCTTCTCACTATGTGCTGGTAGCAGCGCTCCTTCCGCAGATGAATGTAACCCTCAAACCAAAAACAATAATCCCGCTAACGAATTCAAATTAATTCCATGGCCCTGAGAACTTAATAAAGAGCGTTTCCCGACACAGTGAAGGTACAGATCCTTTGCAGGGGCTCAGGTTGTTTCCCGCTGCAGCCATTCGCTGCCGCGCTCCTCCCTGTTCGCCACCGGGACCCGAGTACACGCGCATCATCGAGGAGCTGGAGCTTCGCTCCCCTCCTCCAGGCAGGCACCGCCCCCTGTTACGCAGGTGACGACAGCAAAATAAAGTGATCGGCGTTGAAATGAACCAATGAGATGCGCGTGTGTCCCGCGTCAAACGGGACTGACGCCTCGCTGTCGAATCGCCGGCGAGAGGCGGGACCTCGCAACAAGGCCCGCCCAACGAGAGAGCCCCTGCACGGTCGCCAGGGAAACCCCGTCGCGTGGCTGTGTGTCAGTTTCAGTGGAGCCCGCGGTTGGTGCCGGTGCGGAGGGGGATGGGCGCCTCTGCGAGTGTGAGCACCCGAGACAGAACCAGAGCCCTGGATCACATAGAGCAGCATATACCCCATTAAGTAAATATACTGCACACCAAAATACATGGATTAACCCACCGAGGACCTGTCATAGACACTGAATGGATGCATTGCACCTGGACAGGACAGGGGATTTCACTTTACGTCTGTGCGTGGGAGACACCAAGAAGTTTGTTTTCTACCCCTGGAGAGGGAGCTACTTTTAAGGGCAAAGGATACAGGAGACTCCGAGGCCTGCGCACAGGCCTACTGGGCTGGTTGGATTTGATGTAGGGATACTCTGATGACTCGCTACCGTGCATGAATTTACGTCGTTTGTACACATTTGGAATGCCTCTTTAGGTGAGTACTTTAGATATGTGATACTTATAAATACTGCCATCGATACATTGAAGCAGCAACATAAATATAACAGCCACCAACTAATGGACCATGTTTCCACTCAGCCAAACATAGCCGTGAAGCTAACTAACTTAGCTAGCTGACTACTTTGCTAAGTTAATTTGAAACAAGCTGGTTTCCCCCACAATCTCTCGACTGTCCAGTGGCTCTCTCCCCTGGCTAACAAGGTCCCCGTGTCGGTGCTGTGCCTCACAGGGTGGCTGTCGGCTGTGTCTGGACTGATCCTCCATGGTTTTTGGTCAGCTCTTCGTGTTGTGTTCGATAGCCAGTTTGTTAGTCTGCGAATCCAACACATTACTCGTATTATCACATTATTTCAACCGTGTTACCAAAGCTCCCCAACACAATTCTTCCAAGTTTTCAGGAGCTTTGGCTCGTACAACGTTAAGTGTGGAAGGGCTGCCCTCACTTCAGTTTTTCCTCCTCAGTTCATATTCCTGGGATAAACCAGTGACATTTGACTGTCGCTATCAACCTACATTATTAATCAGAGGAACCGAGTTTCCCTTAAGTCTGCTCGCTACAAATCGATTACGTTTCAAAGCATTAATTAATAAATCTTGGTTTTAGTAAGTTTCGATAATGTGTTTCCGCAGAGGCTTAACATAAACTAACATGACATAGCCAAAACAAGGTCAGCACTTTGTAGGGGCTTAATTCGTGTATGTTGCATCGCTATTGTGATGCAACATTGAAAAGTATTAGACCCGGAGCCCGTCTCCTGGTCTCGGAAGTTTCAAACCACGTAGGCTAATATCCGATCTTGATGTGTTCGAACTAAAACAAGTAGCAGCATTGTGATTTGGGCAGCAGTGTGTTGGGTGTTGCACGTCTTTCCACGAAACTGTCAAATGTTACGAAGGTTATCAACTGCCCGGGTTTGATCATTACTGTTGACTCATGTTAGCTAAGCAACCAGCTGCTGTGTTGTTGGACGTTAGCAGACGAGCCACAGGCAACACATGCTAAACTAGCCTGTTAGCTAACTTTTTGGATGTTTTCCAGTCGATTGTGTCCTTATTTCGAACCGGTTCGTCGCAGCACACACACCGTGGACCTCTCTTAGTGCATGCCTCCTGAAAACTTGTGTGTAACACCGTGTCTTTATTGCCGTGGATAGTTTAATTTTACACTGATAATGGTGTCCTGTGGTGTTTGGCTACATCATGTTAATGCATCCGTCTTTGGCAACATTCCGAACTTTGCTCGGGCGTGTGAATCGAGCTGAAAGCTCTTCTGTGTTTTCTCTATTTGTGCTTGTTATTTGTTTCTGCATGTGAGCCAGATCTGCTGGCTAGTGACTTGCTGTTCTTCACCTCCCCCACCTACCAACCCCCAGCCTCGGTGGCGGTGGAGAGAAATGGGTGGTATTTTGAAGGGGAGCTCTTGTTTCCTTTTTTAGCCTCCATTTTTATTTCTACGTGTGAGCAAGTGCGAGGAGCGTTGTTGATCCGGAATGTAGCAATCACAAGTTTCGACCAAGTTAGACACACAGTATCTGCTGAGTGTTTGAACACAGTTGTGTTGTTTGATCATTCTGACCTGTTCTTGATCGTGAGAAAATGCTACGTGGTCACCTACAGCTCAGTTGAGCTGATTTCAGGGATCAAAAACCTGATTTCCGGATGACTTGTCATTTTCTTGTTTGGTTGATGATGTTATTACATAATGTAACACAGCATAAGAACCCAGTTCCAACGCTGAAGAGCGATAATTGCAAAGGGATTAGCGATTAAAAAGCTTTTGAGGTGTTTTTAAAAAAAAAAACATTTTGCCTTTTTTGGGGCCCGTGTTATCCGAGCACAATGGCCGCCCTAACCGTCGCCCAAGTAGCCGAGCTCCAGGCAGCTGCTCTGCGGAGACTGAAGCTGCGCGGCACCCGGAGTGTGGACAACGCTAGGGCAGAGAAAAGAGACGCGGTTTTGTTCCGTTCGACTTGGCCCGGTAACATAATGTGCCCCCGCGTGTGTGACCACCTCTCTGCAGTTGAGTTAATGGCTGACGTGGTGTAGATGCAGCTGGTCATGCTTCAGTCATATTTTTCTTCCTACATGATCAAACACGTTTTATTGGATAGATTAAACTAAATACATGAAATATAAGTCCAACAAAATTCTGGTCTGAGGCTGAATGTTGTATTCCAACCAGATTTACATACATCTATTGAGTTTGCAAAATGTATGTGCCTCGTTTCTTAGACATAGTCAGTCCAGCTTTAAGAGGACAAAGATTACAGGTGTTCCGCCATAACAAGTATTTGGATTGATCCTAAAGCCGATTGGAAGCTAGACTGCAGTGAGCTGAGCCTCGTTTCCCCTGGTTGTGACTGACATTCTCTGAATGTGTTTCACATCTTTTAATAGACTGTGTGGGCTGCAGCTTGCAAACCTGGCCACTCAGAACCATTGGAAACATGAGCCCCTCCAGCACTCCCCTTGACCTGACCCTTCTTGTTATCTTGAACAAACATTGTGTGCACTAACAGAGAAAAATGTCTGCAGCTAAGAAAGAAATGCAAGAAGTATTTGGAGCACAGGCAAGCACACAATGGTGCACCTTCTTAACTCAACGTGCCACCCTGGGAAAGCCACCGTTTGGCTGCTTGTTGCTGCTTTGTCGTGTACTGGCCAGCCATGTTGTTTTTGTAGGCCTCACTCAACAGCTTCAGATTATGTTTTGGAGTGAAATGCATGTGTAAGCAATTTTTAATTCAAACCTTTGGTAAAAGAGGACTGTGTGTGTGTGTGTGTGTGTGTGTGCGCGCGCAAGATGTAGACCCTTCTTTCCCACTCTGGGCCTCTGAAACTTTGGAGATCTGAGGAATGTGCAGACATGCAAGGTTAGCCTGGCCCAGTTTTCTGTTTACTAAGGAAATATCGGTCTTTCATTCACATTCACGAAGTGCAAACCAGAAAATGTAACTGTTTGCTGAGATTGCCTTCAAAACATGTTCCAAATGGTTGACCACTGTTCTATTGAGTCTGCATTAGGGCTGAGTGACATCCAAAGCAATTTTACTGGGTTTATTTCGACAAATATTATATGAAGTATCATGATTTAATTTGTGTTTTCTCAAAAAAAAGCTGTATTTTGTACAACAAAGCATTTTCCCTCACACATGATTTGTAAGCCAGGGCATTTTTGTTGCACCATAATGTCTCATTTATACGGGAATGTTGTGTTACATTTTACCTTTTTCAGAGATGTTCTTCATCAGTTTGGATATCCCACTTGTCCATGCTGCAGTTTTGATAGCAGTTTGATTAATTGTGCAGCTCCTGTCTGGATCTCTGTTGCCTACTGAATTTTAACCTAGGTTTGTGTGTGTGCTTGTACAAGAGGGAGTGAAGTTGGATGTTGGCCCATTTCCAGAAGAAGACAGGATTCTGTTTCAGCGCCGATGCTTGGAGGGGAGCAGGGGGGAGCTGCTGTGAGGAATAGAAATAGGAAGGAGAAAGCCCTGTCCTTTTAGCTTTTCATTTGTATGCTGATGACGCTCTAACATTACGAGCAGGGCAGGTGTAGCTATTGATATGTTAATAAGGTTTCATGTGTGTGTTGTGCCAAACCAGTGTTGTGGGTCTACACCTGTATGGAAGCGGAAAGATTAAATTCACATCGGTGAGAAGCGGTCCTGGACATATTTCAGAATTGATATTAACCTATTATAGTTTATTCTCTTTAATTATCCGCATAGGGAAAGTATTTTAAATAAAGAAGATTGTTTTCTTTATTATTCTGTTGTACAAGAGACTGATTTGGGATGCCCTTCCTTTTAAATGTCGGGAATAGACATAGCAGCATATCTCCTTCTACCTTCCCCTCTCTGTATAGCTGCTCATCTGCAGCTGCTGTGTTGTGTGCCTACTGTCTTGCACAATGGGGTTAAAAACAAGTCGCTCTGACGCCTGCTTCATTGGTGTATTCCTATTGGTGCAGGAGCTCAGGAGTTCCTCCAATGGGGTGCAACAATTTCTTGGCTCTGGGGGAGTGGTGTTGCAGAGGGCTGTGCTGGGTAATTCTGTTTTGTGCCGAGAAGCAATGCTTCTTGGGAGAATAATGGAGGAGGAGGAGGAGGAGGAGCAGGAGGTGGCTGGGGAAAAAAACAAGGCCAAAAGGGGGTGAGGCAGGCAATCTACGTAATCATCTCTCTCTCTCTCTCTCTCTCTCTCTCTCTCTCTCTNTCTCTCTCTCTCCCTCCCTCTCTCCCTCACACTCTCCTGTTCTTGTTTCAATGCACCCTTATGTTTTGTCCTTCATTTCCTTCTCTTCTCTCACCGTCATACTGCCTGTCCCAGTCGCTTGTGATATTTGGCACAGCTCACCAATATCCTGAGTTTCGGTGTCTGCACCTTTGGAACTGCAGGTAGCCATTTTAGGCTCCACCACATAACCCCCTCTCTCCTTTTTTTCTCTCGGTCCTGCCTCTCTATCTCTTTCTTTCATGAAACTAAGTAGGAGAATAAAGGAGACCAAATGAGGTGAAACCCAAGATTGCAGAATCTACATGCATGTTTGCCCTGAGGGTGTTGTCAGGTAGTGAAAGAGAGCAAATAAAGAGCAGCACAGAAGAAAAACAACCCCAACAGAGCGTTTGCACCAAAGTCAATTCACCTCGACACCAACCAACAGCTGCCCTCTTTTGTAATGCGCAACAGCAGTGCTAGAAACAAAAGGGGAAATGAATATCTGGTGCCAGGTTCTTCCTGTTCATAAGCACCTTGCTTTGTCACCTTGAGCAAATGGTTCCTTGTGGGAAGAGGTGGGAGCTGTGTTGTCTTTTAAGTAAACAGGCTTTTTATCTGTGGCCTTTCACTTCTGCTTTTAAAATGGGTTTGGTCTTAAAATAGAGCACTGCCTCTGAGCCTCTTGAATGTGTTTCTACTCAAGGATCTGTACTTGTTTACTCAACCCCCCCCCCCCCACACACACCTCACATA